AACTTTTTTCTGTAGATCAAAAATCAATTTGCAGTTCGGAAATGTTCTGTGGAAGAGCGTGCCGAATTAAAAAAAAGTGGGACCTGAGAAATTGAAAGGCGTCGCTTTTTTGATCTACGAAAAAGTGCGGCAAAAACGTAATATTTCAGACTTTTGGCTCGTTCGAGCTGCTTTCGCAATTAAGTTCGGTTTTTCGATGAAAAACAGATTCTAGAGATGCTAGCGATCATTTTCATACCAAGAAATCTAAATTTTGTCCAGAAAATCCCATTGAATTCACAGAAATAAGTTTCGTTTACTACTGTAGTGATTTTGAGGCAAGGCCTCGAAAATTGACCGGGAAACCGCCCGCGAAATTTTCCAGGTCCCATTTTTTTTAATTCGACAATAACGTTGAATGAAAAAGGGTGTTTTTTCTTGCAAATAAACAAATTTTTACATATTTCAGCATGATGATAGTTTAACCCAAACACTACTCATGAATTCATCTGCCAGTGAATCCCCAATTTTGTAAATAGAGGAGAAAATCATTTGGTTTCGAAAAAAAAACAAATATTCAAAAAACCATTCATTCAAAAATCTATTCAAAAAACATAACAAATAATAAGCAAACAACGGATTTCAAAACTACCCTAATCTACTAAAAACAATTTTCACTGTGGACGAAGACGTACGAAACCCTCAATAATTCTTCTTTGCTCTGGGTTAACATTGCACTTTTCGAAAATACGATTGGCGAGAGGTTCTAGTTTTGTCCGATTCGCCGTGAGTGACATGATCTGCAAACATGTTGCTGCTCCGAAGGTGTCTTTTTGGCGCAGCGCATCTTCGAAAAGCTCAGCCATCGCCCAAGGCCTTGCATGCCCTTTAGGATGAACGGTTGCTTCTTCACCACTACATGCGTTCTCATCGAGAAGAAGCTCTAGAAGCTCGTATGCTTTTTGTTGCTCTCCAATTCTCGTTAGAAGCAACGCACATTCGGAAATCTGAAAAAAAGAGAAATAAAAATCTACCTAAAACGAAGCGGATTTACCTGACTCGGTGACAGCTTTCTTTGAAGTCGTCGCATTTTTTCCTCGGTGAACTGACTAAATTCAATCCAAACAGCTACCAATTTCTGTACAAGAGATGTGTATTGCTCGCGTTCGCTTGTCCCCAACGTCTGAAAACAAAAAGTGTCTTTGGAGTATTATGGATTTCATGAAACATACATGCAGCTGAACATCGCTCAATTTTTTACGCATTTCCTCTCCCAAAACTCCGTTGATGATCTGGCCAGCAGTGATTCCATCAATGATAACTCTTCGAAGAAGTGGCCAATGGCTATCAGATGACACCGAAAGTTTCCGGTAAATGAGAGAGCTCAAGGAATTGTTAACACCAACTAGTCTTGGAACCATTGACGTATACAAATCATAAATCTTGTTCAATGAAGTTGTCTGTTCGATGACTAATTGCAAATAGCGGTTATAAAAGATTGATTCAATGGTGAATGATGGCATTTTCACTTCGTTAGATTTGGACTCGTAGATGGAGAGAAGTTTTGCAGCGAGTTTTTCGTTAGAAGCTCGATAAAGAACACACATTGCCTCAGCAAAAAATAAATTGCATGATGATGTTACCGGTGTCAAGTTGCTCGTGCTTATTCTATTCAGAATCTCATCCAACCAGGATACAGCAACTGTCAACTGTCGTTTGAAGGCTGCATTCTGCTCTTCGTTATCTCGCTTTTCGTTTTCCAAAATTTTAGAATCCACAAGGTTTTTGATGATGATATAATAACTCGAGAGAGCTGGTTCCACTCCGATTGCTTTCATCTCTCCAATGACTTCCGTGTAGGCTTTCATACGATCTTCAAACTTTGGAGCTTTTGTGGCGGCCGTGAGTAGAGAATTGAAAGTGAAAACATCCGGTGAAATTTTCTGAGCAGCCATTTCCTGAATAAGTTTCTTTGCTACAGAGAAGCTTGACGATCCGATAAGTCCATTGAAAGCTTCTCGGTGAATTTTCCCTTTTGCAGCACGGTGCTCTTTATACAATTCCCTGGCTCTTTCCATACTGGAGTGGCCCGAAAATTTGCACAGGCCACTTATCATGATGGAAACGGTTTCATCGGTTTTTGGAAGAGTTTCGAACAACAAGTCAGGAACACCACCCGAGTTCCAGACAGAATGATCATTTTCTCCAAAGTTGCGCATTCCTGCCCAGCTGTCCCATTCAGCAAACGGAACATTCGAGGAATTGTAGTAGGCAACAAGGCGGAATAGTTCCAGCTGGACTTCCTCGCTCACATCAACATTTTCCGATCGCATTCTTTCATACAGAATACATGTGTCTTGAACTTCTCGACTCTCCATTATTGATAGAAGACTCTTTTCTGTGGGATCGACTTGAAGCGGATCTGCAAGATGTTGTGGACGAAAAGCTGGCAGTCTTGGCTGATCTCTGTCAAAAGCAAAAAGCGTTGGCCATTCTGTTGCAAGTTCTCGGGCTGCTCGTTTTCCAAACTCCTAAATCCACTTTTTTCCAAATGATTAAATCGGATGACTCACTTTGGCCATGAAATAAGTCTTCTTGGCAGTCTGTGTTGATGGAATTGTGATCGGGTCATCAATATAAGCGAAATGAGGAGCTGTAGTGTCGGGACCAACTGTTTCAGAAAGAGCGTTTAGTAGCTCAGTGGGTGATCGCTTAAAAGAGGATTTTTTCTGAGCTAAGTAGATTGAAAAAAAAGACACACCTCAATTGCCGGTTGAATAGTCAATTTCTGTGCAATCCCGGATTCGGTCGATGACAAATTGCGAGAAATCACTCTACATAGTCCGATTCGCCCAATCATTTCCTATAATCATATAAAATTAGCACACCTCTAGAAAGAGCCATTGATGCAATTGAATTTTAAGTTGCATGCATGAGCTAGTTTGATTGGGTGAAAACACACAAAAAAAAGTGAAAAGCTGATTTTCTTAAGATATTGTGCGTATTTTAAAATGCATCGTCCGCAAAGAGGCGTACTGTCTGAAACATTGCCGTGGCCGAATGGACTAGGATTCCCGCCAGCGCGAGTTTTAAAGATGGCGTGTTTAAAAGTGATTTTTCTCAGTCGGGTCTCTAGTTCTCTGTTGTTATTTTTCTTGTAGTACTTCGCGAAATATCATGTCATTTTTCCAGAACAAATGGCGACAGACAGCGGAAACGAGTTAGCAGAATACCTAGGAGCCCACCTCACGCGACTGAATGAAATCGATGATTCAGTGGCAACATCTTCTGCTGAATGCAACTATGAAAACTTTGAAGAGTTCACAAGTTCTGTGGAGTTGGAGTTTTTCGAAGGAGATTTTAAGGATATCCTCAGAGAGTGTAATTCTTTATTTAATTAAGCAGAAAATTTAAGAACCATTTTTCAGTGAAGAAGCGTGCGGAAAACGTTATAATATCTGAAGACAAATGTGACGTTCGTGGTATACTCGAGGAGAGTACTATTGCGACATCGAAATTGAATTTGTTCATCTGGTATTTTTTGGAAAACGGAAGAAAATCAGACAGTTCAGAAGAAAAAGTGACTGATGGGGTGTTTGCTGCATCTTGTTACCTTGCAATGTGTGCATTACCGGGTGCAAACGCTGAGCTTTTTCAGATTGGATTATACAATGTAAGTGTCTGTTTTCTGACTAATTTCAAAACGAGGAACTATTCCAGCAATGCCTCAAAATCATTCGAAACTGCTGCCACACCATCAGGATAGGTGAAACCGTTGCAATGAAGAAGACAGCAGCTAAAAAGAATAAGAAAAACAACGGAACAATTGTGAACGAAACTGCTCCAGAAGATGAAGGAGAAGCAGATGCTCCCGTGATGGGACCGCCTCGAATTGCTGTCGATTCTGCCGAACGCTTCTTACATCATCTGACTACACAGCTATTTGGATTTTTACTTGGCAACGCATTTAGTATTGACGCACAGACACTCATGGGCACTCTTGAAGTCATCGAAGAATTCGGTCGACTCGATTTAGACAGCCGAACGGTCACAAGATCATACCGAGCTAATTCAATTCGCGAATTTCGATCTCTCGAGAGATTCACTGATAGATATTCGGCGTTCTTACATGTCTTGATCGAGAGCAAGTATCAAACAAGAAGAGAAATGGCTTATGGAAGATTGATTCGTCCTCGTTTAGCGTTAATCCCTTATCCTGACGATGGCACTAAAGCCTCCAAAATTTCCACCGAAAGAAAAAGAGCTGGTGATCTCACTGTCAACCTGATCCTCGCGAGAATCACACGGAAACCAGATGCGAAGGAGTTGAAACTCATCGAAACAGTAATCATCATGGTATACACCCAATGCCCAGACCTCGCCGAGTTCCGTACGAACATTGCACAATTCATTCACAAAATATTGGAAGCACTACCCTATCAGTATGCCTACGACTTTGTTCAATTGATGAATGCAATGTTCAAAGGACGTTCGGCTGGATTAAAATCCCTTTCGAACGAGCTCGCCAACGTTCTTCTTTCAAGTTTCGACTTCACGGCCGCCGATCCTGGACCCGTTGTGGATTTGGAGAAGACTGTATCTGAGGAAAATGAAGAGGAACCAGAAGAAGAGGAAGAGCCGGAGGAAGAAAATGGAGAAACTGAAGATGAGGAAGATGAGGAGGAAGACAACAGTGATGACGAAGGAAACAAAACAAGGAAAAACAAAGAAAAGAAACAGAAGGACAAGAAGAAAAAAGAGAAGATGGTTGCAGAAGTGAAGAATGTGGATCGAATGGATGCGTTGTCTGTTTTGTATAATATTGTCTACATTGCATGTCTGGACAAATCTGCAGCAATGCGGCTACATGGATCTCACAGTTTGGCGAAAATTCTAGAGTCTAACACTCATCGAAATGCGTTTCAAACGTTTTGTCAGACAATCAATTCAAAAATGGATGAAAAGTTGGGCGATGTCGAAGATAACCTCAACGAATCTCTGGGTTTCGATGCGTCAGATGCTCCGGCTAGTAGTAAATCCAAAAAAGCCACAGATTTACTTCTCGACGAACAGCAAATTATACAAAAATTCAACAAACTGAAAATGATGAACAAAGGAGAGGCTCGAATCGAGAAGGACATCATCTACATGCTAGTCCGCAAACTATCCACCGATGATAAGGCGCCAGTGAAAAAGAGTTCTTGTGCTCTTCTGAAGACGTTCCTTTCGTTTTGCGACGAGGAAATAAAGTTTGAGACAACGCTGGCAATTCTTCAAAAACTGTGTCGGGATAAGACGGTGTCCGTACGGAAAGTCAGTGCAGAAGCTTTCACGGAACTAATGCTTCAGGATAACATTATTTTCAAGTAGGTCAAGAATTGGAAATAAATTTCTATCAGAAAATTTACAGAGAAAGTCTCAGTTCGAAATGGCTTCATTCTTTGATCTCAATGCTCAATGATACGGATAGTGACGTCACTGAGCATGCCAGAAAACTGATTATGAGAGTGTTGACTCCACTTTTGGAAAATCCATCCGAGTTGACGTGGACACTGCTAGACACTATTGAAGGCATCCGAAACCATCGGAACTATATCATGACCGCTTTGAAAGGAGCGGTGCGTGAGAAACTTGTCAAGAAGTCGGTTATGGATACAATGAAGAGCCACATTAATTCTAGAAGTGGAAAGGTGAATGGAGCTTGGATGGTGTTCTCGCAGTTGTGTGTTCAGTTCGAACAGAACGTTGACTTTGCAATCAACGAATTCAATAAGGCGACTTATCGAAACCGTTGAATATCATGCAGTACATTGTTCATGTAATTGTGAACAACGTTAAGTCAATCAAAGCTGATACCAAGAGCGATCTAGTGTATTCTTTGAAAAGTACGCTGAGGGATTACTGTCTTCATTCATCACACGCCAGAAGTTTATACCATTGTCTTGGGAAACTGATGGATGGAATTGGTGATAGATCAGCACGTGAGTTCTCCTTCGATTGCTTCGAACCCTCACTTTCTTTGTTTCAGATCCCCAGGAATTCCAAGATTTCGGTGACGAACTTCTCGTCAAATGTTTCGACACCATCGTCCAATCGTTTGACATGTTCAGAAATAAAGATGATTGGAACCGAAACGCCGAACTACAAGAACGTCTTCTCTGTACATCTCTCAACGTTGCCACCGAAGTATTCTCATTCTCGCCACAATTGATTCCACGTCATGAACGGGTTGCAAAGACCCTGTCTATGATTGTCAACTCCAACGACCCTCGCTCTAGTGATGCTACATCAGTTAACCCAGAAATGCCATCTGCTCATCAAACCCGCCCATCTACTCAGCTTTCGCAGTATCCACAGTCGCAAGAAAGTCATGAAGCGAGGATAAGGGCTCACGGCGGCCTGCTGTTCAGTGATAAAGTTCGCGCTGTTGGAGTTGTCACATTAACGAACATGATTGTGGCGGTAGACATTAATTTTTTGTTTCCAAAACGAAAACTTTCATTTCAGCATGATTGTCTACTGAAACTAATGCCTTCACTTGTAAAGCAGCTTCAACACAATCCATCTCATCAAATTCGTTCCAACGTTGTGATTGCAATGGGAGATGTGTGTAACTCGTGAGTTTCATTTTTAGATGATGTTCTCATAGTTGTCTTAATTATTCAGATTCAAAACTGATCGATACGCTCCGATGTTGGCTGCATCACTCTGTGATCCGTCTGTGCTAGTTCGTCGTCATGCCATCAACCAAATCGCGCGTCTCATTAGCAATGGAATCTTCCGATTCAACGGAGAAATCATGATCCGTACAATGATGGCAACACTGGATGCTAACGAAGATGTTCGAAACGATGCGAAGCTTTATATTGTTTGTTTCAGTTCTAGTTGAATATCTTATATTCTTTATTTTTCAGAGTGAAGTTCTCCAGTCAGAAGATCCGAATTTCTTCAAAAGCAACTTTGTTCAATACATGCTTGCTCTTACTCAAGCAAGACGACTCATCGGTACTAGGTACGATGAGGAAGATCGTGGACAAATCGACGTTGCAATCGGTGGTGGTACCGCGTTAGCCAGACCTTCGAGAATTGCAATCTATACGTTCATGATTGAATCACTCGACGATCGTTCGAAATTCGAAGTCAAGAAGAGCATGTGTGAGCGTGTTTTCGTGCCGATCATCAATGGAGAATACGATTTCGGATGTGACAATACACAGAGTCTTCTGGATGATGCCCTACTTATCATGGCTTCAAATGAGATGCAAATCAAAATGGAAGTAGGAAAAGATCCAAATGAAAACGCGTTAGATGAGCCACCACCAGAAGCTGTTGAAGCTGCGGCTGGATTCATGCAACAGGTCTACTTGGAGAACTATATGAGACTCATCGTTCCATCGATGCTTGCTCTCCGAGAATTCCTCAATCAACATCGTTCTCCACTCCAGCGCAAATGTCTGATGGCGATTCGAATGATCTGTATTGAACATAAAAACGACATTGACAAGATTCTTCAAGAGAACCGACAATTGAAAGAAGAAATGGCTTTCGAAATTCAGCGTGTCAAACAGAGAACAGAAGAAGCGAATCGAATTCTGGATAACTATCTACAGAGAGTTGTCGAGTTCAATAGGCGACAGAAGCGTCTTACAAAGACGCCTCCTCCTCCAGAAATGATAGAAACGGAAGTTCCAGAAGATGGAAACGTTGAAATGACATCGGCAGAAAAGGGAGCTGGTGTTGGTGAAGTCGAAATTGAAAAAGAAGCTGATGAAAGCATGAGAACTCCAGAGAAAAAGAAGAACCCATTGTTGGATAATCTGAAAACTCCAGCAACTGCTCTCAGGAGTAGAACAGAAGAGCAGAGTACTCCAAACTCGAGACTTCTCTCACCAACGACGATAAAGAAAATTCGTCGATCTGTTGGTGCTCTGATCCATACGGAGGCATGTTTGAATCCCCCAAATCTCGAAGATACGCAGGTCGTGGAAGAAGGACTCAGTACTTCGCGTCGGGAAAAGAACAACACGAATCCGAAAGAAAAAACGATTGTGGAAGATGAGGAACCAATAGAAGTAGAAAAAATCGTAGAGGATGAGCCACAATCAGATTCGAGAAGAAGTGTGGTCGCGGCTGCAGAACAACGGGCAGAAGAGTCCCAGAAAGATCTGGAAGAGGTTCAAGAGCAGCAAATCGAAGATGAAGATGCTGTGGCGAGGAGAAGATGTTTGTTTGAAAGAAATCGGGGATGAGAGAACTCTTTTGATTTTCTATTATAAATAGTCACGGTTTATCTATTCTTAAAGTTTTTTAAAAGATTTTGAATAGAAATGATTCAGATATATTCAAACAACTTCACTGATATTTCTTTCATGAATTATTTTCCAGCTCGTCGTAGAAAAACTCCAACATATGACGACGATGAATCAATTGACCGCGACGGAAAAGTCTGGAAGAAACCAAAGATTGTAGCTAGTGAGAATTTGATAAATTTTAGCCATTCAACTAACTATAATTTTCCCAGAATCTCCTGAAAATGAAGCAACGAATATATCATCAGCCAACGTGACATTACGTAGGAGCCGTCGAGTGAGTCGCACAACGGAAGCAGCAGTGGTTGAGAAGCCGAAACAACGAAAACGGAAGTCAACTAATGACGATGAGGAGGAGCAGATAGATCAACATGATTCTGCAGCTCCGTCGACTTCGGAGAATGTTGAGAACACTCCAAGAGGAACGACACCTCTGCTATTTGATGAATCAAAGCTTGTCGGTCGCCAATGTTCAACACCGATTCGAGGAAGAGATTCCGATACGGGCGATATGACATTCTCTCTAAATTTATCCGCTATCACCGAAAAAGAAGAAGTGAAAAATAGAAGTAAGAGAGTATGAGATGTTCCTGTTTTGAACTATAAATTATTTTTCAGGAAGTCATGCCGCCGTCCTCCATCAAATCTTCGAAGAAGATGACGAAGATGAAGAAAACTAATACCTGTGCCATTTTTATCCTTGATATTCATTCAAAATACGCTTGTCTCTTTTTCATTATCTCGTAACTATATTTTCAATATATATCTTATTATCAAACCTCAAACGAGACTGTATTCATCGTCGGATGAAGCTAAAAATTCACTGTTTTTCAAATAAATTCTGTATTCTATAATCCAGTCAATAAGTTCAAAGGAGCCATTTTTTATTATGTGCTACATGTCAAGTTAAGTATCTCCAGCACTCATTTGCTCGAGGATCATTTGCTAGAAAAGAAGGGGAATCATGTCTAATTTGGTTTAGCAAAAGTTGAAATTCCGGCACGATTGCCTCGAAATCGGTTCCTCGGAGCTGGTGGAGTCACGAAAATCATGCTTAAAAGATTCATTTGCAGATAAGAAAAAATCGATGATGCCCCCGAGAAGTCTAGTTTCAAATGTTTCAGAGCTTTTTTCAACGAGTTCTCGCAGACTGTAGAATAAATCTGAAAAAAACTTCGTTTGAAACACAAGTAGAAAATTTTCATTTATAAGCACATACGATAAATGTACGAATACGGTTAGAATAAAATACAATTTCGGGAGTTAGAGTGTGTGTTCCCGTCTTGGTAAAACTCGTTCAATAATTATGCAGTAAACGGAGGTGTGATTACTTCTTTCTCAATTCTTTTACAGCTCCCATATCTTTGGCGATTCCACCGATCTCTCTCTTGATTCTCTCCTGAACATCAGCACCAAGATTCTGAAAAAAAATAATTGTCGTCAGATCATCGGTAGAGTTCGAACTCACTGGAACGACCGCTTTGGTAAGTTTCAACTCCTTCTTATATTTCTTGATTTCTTCCTCAAGAATCAAATTATCCTGTTGATATTGTCCAAGTTTCTCGACCAACTTATCAACCGACGCATTCTCCCATTTTGTCATATCGATTCCCTTGAACAAAATCAACTTTTTGTGCAGATAATCACGAAGTGTTCTTGATTCGTTTATCAAATTAACAATGGTTTCCTTGAGTTCCGAGTTCATTCCAGACATGTTATGGGTCTTTTTCAGTCTCTGGACAATAGCATCAACCGCCATCGTTGACTCGTGAAGCAGTTGACGTGTTGGGCTGACGAAATCTAAATAAGTTCTGTGTTAAGCTATTTGTTATAGGTACTAACTGGATGGTTCCTTTGGCTTTGTTGATGTGGACGCTGTTTTTGGGCCGTTTGCTTCGACGGGTGGCACATTTTCGTTATTCACAACTGCCGCCTTCAATGATGCCTTCAACTCGTTGTTGTCCTTTTGAAGACTTTCGATTTTATCATTGACGTATTTCAGCGTTTCCGCACTTTCATGCTGCAGCTGGCTCTCTCGACTGATTCGACGACAAATCTCGTCGCAAACATGTTGAATTGAGGATGAATCCCTGAAAATGTGGAATGAGATTTTTAGAATTAATGTCTATCACCGCACCCTTTGATAAGAGGAACCTTCAAAGTCTTCTTGGTCAGCTCAGCAATCTCTTTTCTGACCCGTTCCAATCCTTCAATAGCGGCCAACTCCATGTCGTCTCGTGATTTGATCAACTCGATTTCCTTCTTTCTAGCTGTCAATTTAGCATCACAGTCGGTAAATTCTTTTTCCTGGAGAGAAACTTTCTCGAGATGCTCTTCTAAATTGGCAATGTGTCCCATCATCTCCTGCTTCTCATTGGCTGAGAATTCGACCTTGTCTTCTGCTTCTTTAGTTCTTCGTTTCAATTTCTGCATTTCATCTTTCATTTCCTCCAAGTGATCCCGGACCGCGTTCTCTTCAGCCAACGCAGTGCGAAGTTCGACCGAAAGACTTTCAATGACTTGCTTGCTCTCTCTTTCAACTTGCTCACGAGCTTCTGTGACACGATAATCAACCTCAATCATCATAGCATTTTCATGTTCTTTCTTGAGTTGTTGAACAGATCTTTTCGTTTCCTCCAGAATTTCTTCGGCTTGTAAGCGAGCTTTGCGCTCTGTGGAAACACGAATCGATGCTTTCTCAAGTTCTCTCCGAATTTCCTCTAACTCGTTGACAAGTCGGTGATGAGTAAGCTCGTGCTTAGCAATTTCACTTTCCAGCTCGGCCTTTTCTGATTCGATTTTTTTGAGTGTCGCCTGACACACTTCAAGATCTTCGAAGTTCTGAGCTGCCTTGATCTGTACATCTGACAATCGCCCCGGTGAGCCTTGTAGAGGGGACTTCAACTCTCTTGCACGAGCCTTGTCGAGTTCGCTTCTCAATTCTGCGACTTCATTTTGAAGCTTCTCCACTTCAATTGTATTGCTTGAAAATTTGAAGATTGGGCTATAGGATGCATTAAGAAGTGACGAAGAGGCAACATCTTAAAAATAGATTCAAAATGCCAAATTTACAAAAAAAATACCTTCAGAATGCGGTGCAATTGTGAATCTTCTTGATACGTCAGCAACAAAAGATTCAGTGATGATCGACTTTTCGAGAATCGAGAAGTTGACTGACATAGTGTGAAGATCTTTTTCAGCTGCTTCAAGGAGCCCTGATACATCGGCATGATCCGAAATACTGGTCTCAAATGCCAACTTCATCTGCTTGATGCGGTCGGCCAATGGACTGCTTGATCCCATCTGAGAAAGGGAATTGAAATAGAAAGAAGAACACAGGCTCTTACCTTTTCCAGAATATCTTCGAACAACGCTGCAGATGACTTCAGCCTCTCGAAAAGACGCGAGAGCGCGTCTCTGATCTGGGTCATCTTCGCTTGCATCTTCTCCGTGTTTGCAGCAGCTTCGTGCTGTCCTTCAAGAAGAATGGCTGATGAGTCGAGAATGTGTTGTACGTCTTGAAGGAGTGGCATGTGACAGTGCGAAGCTTGGAGAGATGCAGTTTTTGTAGAGAACGAGTGATTCTGTATCTGTTCAGCAGTCTCGTTTTGGTGACTCTTCAAAAGCATGTGCAGTGGTTTTGGCTTCATCATTGGCGAGTTCTTGAAGCTCTTGTGACTGAGGAATGATTGCGTGGCGTCTCTGTCAGGTGGTGGCATAGACGCATTGAAAGAGCTCTCAAGAGTATCATTTGGTTGGCTGTCAGACCTTGCTTGAGCGATTCGAAATCATTATAGGCTGCATCGAATGCTTCCTTCTGAAAAATCGCATCATTTTTATTTTTACATCTAGTTTCAAATTTCGAACTAACACTTCTCACAGCGGCACTAGTGTCCATAAGTGGCAGCTTATTCTCCTCCAAATCATCCAATTGACTCTCTCTGGGAAGCATGCGCATCGATGTTCCGCCTGTTTCATTCTCCTGCATAGATGTTACCAAATCGCTGGGAGATATTCCAGCCATCAATCGACTTTGACCAAGCGACATACTGAGGTTTCCATCTCCACCAGTCAAATGATCACATCGAATACGAAGATAGCGATTCTCATTACGTAATTCCTTCAACTCTCCGGTCACTTTCTCGATCTGTGCCTTCAACTCTTCGGAACTCTGACCGCCAATCAGTACAGAGGAGGAATCGAAAGTCGACTTCTTCAATCTATGAATCTCATTTTCCAATTTGCTACATCTGTTCATGTACTCCACAAGAGCCAACCGTGCCTTCTCGCTTTCATTTTTCGCATCAGTGAGTTTAGTTTCGAGCTCGTCGATGTACTTAATCTGTTCTTCAGTTTGTGATTCACGAGCGTTTCCGATGACAAACGTAGAGTTGGGAACGTTCGCACTAGGAATGACTTGAGAGGCAGCTGCTTCCAACTGGATACGGATGTTTTCCGACTGAGCAAGTCTGGCTGACTGGTCTTCAACCTCCGCCAGCAAGCTCTTTATTTGATCTTCCAGCTCGGCAACTTTGTCCATTTCAGAGAGAAGTTTATTCTCAAGCTCAGCAATCTTTCTCTCTTCATAACCAGATGTCAAAGTGAAATCTGGGTCATCTTTCTTCATTATGTCATCGAGCGTTCCGCGAAGTGTGCCATATGTGGTATTGTTCGGATCTGGTGCTGTAGTAGCTTCTAGATCACGAATTCTCTGCTCCATGTCCTTCCTCTGTTTATCAAATTGATCGACTTGCCCGGCAAAGTTGCTCTCCGAATTATCCAACTTAATCTGCATATCTTGAAGTTCTTTCTGGAGCATTTTGTAGTCTCTCATTTTCTCGTCATAGTCTTCTTGAGCGATCTTCATCTCTACATATTCATCAAGGACATCTTGAACTTTTTTGTGGCATACTCCTTTCGCCTCAAGGTACCGTCGCTCGTGCATCTGCACCTCGCACTGAAAAACAACTTTAGGTATTTTGAAAATAGTTAACATCTCACCCGCAAGCTATAAAGCTGGCCCTTCAGCTCCTCGTTTTCGTGCCATGTTTGGATGATTGGAATGCTTCTGACGTTCGAATTGGAAAATGAGCCAGACATTCCAGGCTTGCGAGCTGCCGCAGTAGATGAAGTCTCTCCACTTTCTCCAATAATTGCCAAAGAAGGCTGAGACATCGATTTTCGTGGATTCCCAGAAGAATGGCCAGATTGTTGGAGATTCGCTGTCGGTCTTCCAACGACATCCTCAATGTTTGAGTCCTCATTCAACACTGAGTTATCCTCCATATCGAAGCCTGAGAATTTCGAAATTTATGCAACGAATATGATGCGTAATGAAAGTGTGTTGCTATAGAAACGTGTCGAAGGAGGTGGCAAAATTTCAAACGAAGCTTTTCGCGCGCGTTTGACGGAGTTTTCCCCACTGGCGCGCAGTTGCGTGGACGGCTGAAAGCATGCCAGTGTTGCAAAAGTGCCTGCCGCAGTCGTGCGAAAGCTCGCCCCACCTACTTTTTTTGATGGGGTTATTCATTAGTATTTCTTTGCATTTTTTTGCATTTTTTTCCTATGCATTAGTGTAAAAAAATTAATTTTTTTACATTTTTTACATCATTTTTTTTACATTTTTTTACATTAGAATGCAGGTCTCTGCGGGACCCCCCGNCCGAAAATGTCCATGCCCCTTTNNNCTCCTCCGCAGGAGCCCTGCATTTTAATGTAAAAAAATGTAAAAAATTAATTTTTTTACACTAATGAATAGGAAAAAAATGCATTTTTTTGCATTTTTTTACTAATGAATAACCCCATGAATTCGAAGGCTATCGTTTCTAGACAAACTAACATTTTCAGACAATTTGACACTACGGAGATAGTTACCTGAATACTCATTCAGATGTCTAGCTAAAAAAATTATATAGGTTAAAGTTTGTCTGCTGAAAACCATTGTGGAGTTGTTCATGACATAAAAAAGTGTTTTTTTTAATTTTTAAAACCTGTGCTTTTTCAAATGTTATATTTTACTTTTGATTCGTTTTACATGCTAGTTCTTTTTCAACGATATAGTATTTCAGATGGACCTGGTATATGGATCCGAGATAAGCTTTGGGGACGGGTTTTCCATCAAACCGTCAAGAACATTATCAGTCAATACTAGTGAATCGTAACAAAAAAAAACATTGTTATAATTTCTCTTCAGATGCTCCACTTCATTCAAACATATTCGAAGCAAAACCATCAGGAGGTGTCGCCACGTTCCCGCACAGTTCACACTACGCTGATAGGGTATTCTTATGGCGTGCTGTCGGTCAAAAGCTTTACATCGAAGAACGTTCCTTGCTCTTCTCGATTGCTGATGGATCTCTCTGCATTGACTTCACTCGCACTTCCATTATTCCTGGAACCTCTATCACGATCTTCGAGGAAGGTGTTTTGTGTATTGTAGTTCCAACCGCGTCTGCCATTCATCGCTTTTATGCAAAACTTCTTTCAAAAGGACGGGATGTAGGTATTAGAAACCTGTTCTTAGAAAAATGTTCTGTTTGTAGACGTTCTCAATTCTGGCTAGAATCAAAGAAGAAGAGGATTTCCGCCGCTATCAGACTTGCCACGTTCTCACTACTCAAGGTCGTCCGATTCGAGCAAGCGTCACTCATCATCCAACCAAAAATACAGTAAGAAAATACCGAGAATATTCTTTTTCATGATCTGTGATTTAGGTCAGTTATTGCACTGCCGAAGGGCAATTGGTTGTGGTAGTTCTTGGATCATACACAGAGCCAGGAGACAAGCATGAAGAGTTCACGATCGGAGAAGTTGGACTCCTAGGCAAACTACTGGGTGGAACAGATAGACGCGTTAGTGATGCTTGTGTGATGAAGAATCTTCGTCCGGTTGGTGGAGTTTCCAAAGAGAGGAAAGTTTCTGTCCAGGCCGATATCGTATTCGCTGTAACAAGAGATGGATGGGTACAAGCATGGAACGTGGAAACAAGAAAGCAACTGGCGAGCACTATCGACTTGAACAAGTTTTTTGCTTCAGATGGCAAAAGTTTCAATTATCAGGATCCGTCCGATGATATTGATGGACCATTAGAGCAAGAGCCAGCAGAGCTGTCCTATTCTATCAAGGCTTATTCATTTGATGTGGATATGCTTTTAATTGTGGGATGTGAAGTTCGGATCGGAGGAAAAAGCGTCGGAACGAGAGTTCACATTTTGAAAATGTCAGACGATCAACTGCAGCATATGCAAATGTTTGAGACAAACATGTCAGCAGACGAGCGACTTGAGGATTTCGAGCTCATTCAAAACTATTTTCCACCGAATGAAGCAGATGAACTAGATACTACCCAAGAATTGTAAGTGTCTCTGTTCAGAGATAATAAAAAACTTAATTTTCAACTTTCCAGTGAAGACTACAACCCTCGAACTGCAGCACAATTCTCTTTGACTGCTTTGTTCAAGAGTTCGTCTGCCAAGAAAAACTACTCAATGAAGAGAGTCTCATTCGCAATCCAGTGGAAAGCTGGAAAGGTTTTCACAGAATTTGACTGGCACCCTGTACGCCAGTTCACTTCTGCAGCAACAAAGAAGGGGGAACCATTCGCAGATGACGGAAATTCGGCACCCGAACGACCTTATAATCTTTCTGCAGATTCCAATGTAGAAACTCTAGTTGACGTTATTTTCGATACGGATGTGTATTCATTCGATATCGTTCTCCGCGCTATTCAAGTTAGTTCTGTATAGCACCACATAAACTATCATGGCTATTTTAAGATTGTCTCGGAAAACTTCCGTGGAGCATTGACCCAGATACGCCACAACCATTGGGCAGAGCTGGCGAAAGTTGTGGATGCATACCTAATTTCAGTCGAATTCAATCGCAAGTTTCAACTGAAAACCGATAGAAGTATTCGATTGAGATTGAACGCTCCTCAAGAGTCTCAAACTACAGCAGTTAAAGAGTATGCATCCCTTACCGCGGACCATCTCATCATATCATTTTCAGCTTCTGGTGGGCTCTGCTTCGGGCGTGTGAAGAGCTGGACTTCGCTGCTCGCGGAACTATTGCTCTGTCTCCAATGCAACTTGCTGGTGATCTAAAGATCATGACAGTTATTCACAAGGATAGATTTACTATTCTCGGAGATAACAATATCGATTTTCTCAACATCATTAGCACTGAAAACATTCCAAAGCCAGGACATGTGGAAGAGAAGTTCAGAAAAATTCCAAACAAGCTATTCGTTGATCTGATTGATGAGGCAGCGAAGTTTGCCGATAGACGGGTCTACCTAATGGTGAATCTCGCATTAGTAACAAATTTCATTATGTTATGTATTTCCAGAACAAGGAAAGAGCAAGGCTGACAAACGCCAAACATGGTGTTACAGTAGTCGATGACGATATACTGGAAAATGCATACGATTATGATTCAGACGGAAGATTTATACAGATCAAGTCCGCGCTCGAAAATTCGATAGTCATGCTCACAACTGCTTTTGTGGAAGCATCGACTTTTGACAATGGGAAACCATTTGAAGATCCATGTGCTCATGTTTTTGGAGGAAGTTTCTCCCAGAGTCTGGTGTCTGCGAACATTCGCAAATCAGTCGAGTCTCGTGTACACTTTGCACTGACACTTCAAGCCCTACTTAACGCTATCACTGAGGTACTGTGTTTTCCACCTCCCCACTTTCTAACCAAAATCGAAAGAAATTACAGCAAAAATCTCGAGCTGGTGTTCCATCGTTTGGAGATGTGGAGGCTCTGTCTTGCGAACTGAGAGAAATAATCCGCGTATACAGAGAACTGAACGAGCAACTTGATCTGAAAATTCTAAAAAACGGAGCAAAAATGAGTATTGGTACTTGGTTGACATCAGATAACGACGGACTCGCAATGATGAAACGTGAGGGAGGTTATGGTCCGAATGGCTATGATGAGATTCGTGAAAGTGATTTCAATTGGTTCGTTGGTGTTACTACCGAATCAGCTGTTCGAGCGCTGCTCTCTTCATCCGAAATTCTCGTTCTCCCAAGAAGGCTGGTCATACTTAAGCAATACAAAGTATTACTTACGATTCTGAATTCATACATCAGCGAGACTCGCGCCCTCAAACCTGTCATCACCTTTTATCGAGGAATTGCATACTCTGGAACAGATCATCCTGTAAAGGTGTCCTAGGCTTGATTATGTTTTGGGTTAATATCATGTCTTTCAGGCACTGAATGCTTTCCAATCATGTCTGGATGCTTTCACTGAAGGAAATGTTCCTCTTCGAAAAGCAGTGTACTACCTTCTTCCAAAACGTTTCGCTGTTACGAAGGGCAAAGATCCATTAGAACAACTGACTGCGTCTGAATTCTTCTTAACTGTGGTTCGATTCCTCCAAGAACATGGGCATGCAGAAGAAGTTTGTTCAGTTTCAATGAGGGCGATTGAAAGCCTTCCAATTGAGAACGAAAGTGTGCAAGTGATTTCCAACACGCTTTTCAATCATCTGACTAATCGGAGAGAATGGTTCCAAGCTCTGAAACTGATACTGAAGACCACGCTGCGAGCCGAGACTAGAAGAGCCTCGATCTGTGAACTACTCACTTTGATGCTCGCAGTCGGAGAATGGGAGACAATTGCAACAATGAAGTTTGGAGTTCATGAGCAAATTGTGGAAGACTTTCTCAGAGATGCCGCTTGTCGTCAATCACCAGCAGACAAGAAACATTATTTCGAGCTTCTCTACGCATTCTACATGGCTAGAAAGGATTTCAGAAAAGGAGCGTGTGCCATGTATGAGTACGCACGACACATTGAAACAGCAGCTTGCATGACACCGGAACTTTTGCGCAGAAGACGTGATTGTCTTGCCGCTGTTCTGAATTTACAATCCGTTCTTAGTATCGAGCCAGAAGGTGAGACTCAGCCATTATGTTGTTCTAATGATTTTGTAGTTAATACAGATTCCGGTGCTATATACGACGACTACACTGATACAAATTTGGTATTCCCTATTCCTTCGGATGATGAGACCGAGACGGAGACAGACTCTTCTGAAGACGCTAGTAACCAGCCAGACGAAACCGTTTCTTCACATAAAAATCCACGGTCAGGTGCGACTACCACAGGCACATCATCATCTTCCGGATCGTCTCCCGAAAATTATCAGAGAAGAGCCTCACAAGGTACAAGCTGTTCCGGAAGAACGTCAGATTCTGCAATGATCAGGTCAAGAAAGCTGAATTATGCAATGGGAAGTGACACTGATATGGACACAGATGGTGAGCAGATGCCGAGACTTCCGTTGAATAAAAGGAGGAAACTATTGGTTTTGAGCGAGAAAGAGTGAGTTGTGTCAATACTTCTGAAATGGTGACATATGTTTTTAGCATTCGTGATGAGTGGGTATTGTGCTCCGCCCGTGTGGGTCTTCTCGCATCGGGCGAATTTAAAGGAGTGCCTCCTACAGATGTCGAAGACTTGTTTGCACTGTTAGTGGATACACTACACTTTGATGACGCTTTCGATATTGCGAGGTATGATTTTTATGATGAGTTCTGTTTCAAATCTCCTAATTTTCAGACAATTCCATCTGGACGCTCGTAAGCTATTTTTCACTGTCACACGCGAAGCGATTCTGATCGATGCACTCCGTGATGATCTTAATATCGAAATGGCTTCGACACATCAAGCAGGTTGGGTTCGTCTCAACAGAAGACACTGCTTATCCGTGGCCACCGCCGAAGATCACTGGGCTGTTGTTCGAGGCTTAGTTGATGCTGCTCTCGCTGAATGGCCTGGAGATTCGCGACCACTTCGAGGATCAGCAGAGGCTTTCTTGAGCTATAAAGTCGGAGTGCCATACTGGCTTCACAATGTCTATGAGGTCAGCATCAGTGAATGTTTTGAAAAACGGTTTTTATAATTTTTAGAAGAAGGATGCAAACGACTATTTGAGATGTCTTGTCGACTACGAAAGTTATGCAATCGCTCTTCAAGTTCTCGAAGATATTGTTGAACACGAGACACTACAAGTATCCCAACCAAACGCCCGCACCTGGTTGCCATACGGAGTTATCGACGAATTGATGATCAGCAGTGCCGATTATGTTCGAAAAATGAGTATGAAAACACCAGAGGATCAAGTATTGGCTGCGGATGTGGCCAACCTGAGACAGAAGGCTGATAAGAAACTCATGACATATTTCCGAAAAGTTTCCGATTTCGAGCAGGCACAAAAAATGTCGTCTCGGTTTTTCGATAAGTGATTATCCAGTTGTTTAACTTTTTTTAAATTCAATTCCCCCTCCGTTTTTCATCTCACATTTTCAACAGGTTTTTCACGATATCCTTGTGTTATATTCTATTTTCAAGTTGATGATTGTTTCATGTCTCGGTTTTAGAATAAATATGATTTCAATCAAATATGCTGAATTTTTATTTGAAAAAAAGCAGATCATTCTGTCAAAAATACTTCATCTAATACTTATGCCCGGAACATAAAAAGTTTGTGCAGATGGAGACGTTCATTTTGTCATCGGATTCTGACGACGATTGCCCACCACCACCAAAAAGAAGATCCATAGAAGGAGTACCGAAATCTTTTGACGGTGACAAGAAAATGAGGTTTCATTGGGTTCGCAGTACTATTCCAGAAACAAAGCTTCAGATTCTCATTCGACGTTACAAGAGACATCATCCTCGAAGATTCAGAAGCCCCTTGTTCCTCCAATAATATATTCACACCTTCGTTCCGTCGTGATTCTAACAAAACCTTACTGAAAACTCCAGTATCTTTACGTCGAAGATCTCGATCGATGAATTGTATGACGCCAATCGTAGACACTATTAATGAGCCACCCATAAATCAAGTTTGCTCCGCTTTTGTACAAAAAGAGATTCAATTGGATGATGATGATGACGATGAGAAAGAATCATCTACAGAGCACGCAGATGATGACCTAAATTTGAGAGCTTTGCTCAGTCCCGAGAAGAAAAAAAGGAAGGAGAAAGTTGATAAAAGAAGACCGTTTGGAGTTCAAAACTAAATATTTTACAGGTCGAAGAAGTTCAAAATGAGTTCTACGGAGTTTATTGTCTAATCAGTCGAAGCGAGCGACAGTGCTACAAAAATCGCTGTTACATCGGCTATACGGTCGACCCGAATCGCAGAATTATGCAGCACAACGGAGGGAGATTCAAAGGCGGTGCGAAGAAAACTGACAGTCGGGGACCATGGTGAGAATTGTAGGGACGCTATGGATAACCTTGTACTTCAGGGATATGGTTTGCGTTGTTCACGGCTTCCCGAACCACGTGGCAGCTCTTCGATTCGAGTGGGCTTGGCAGAATCCGGCAGTTTCGAAGTCTTTAAAAGAAAAGCAGTTGAAAAAAGAAAGAAAGGAGACGCCATTTGCTTATCAGTAATATCTATATAAACTGAGATTCCATTGTCACCTTGATATGTTTTCAGACTCCGAATCGCCTGTGAATTAATGAACAGCGAGGCATTCAGTCGATTCGCACTAACTTTTCGGTGGTTAAATACGGTAAATAACTGTTCATCGAGTAACAAGAATAGCGTATATTTAGAAAGAAGAATTGCCGTTTCCAATCAGTTGTACCCCACCAAACCATGTGAAGTTGAGATACGGCAAAGTGAAAAAGGAGATGAGTTTGGTGCCGGCCAAGTCGGCAGACTACGTGGCGATGGGAGAGTGTCGACTCTGTGGAAAGGATATTGAAAAGGTACCCGGAACCTATAGTTTTTGCACTTTTGCATCTTGATCAAGTTAACCATTCATAAGAAATCAAAAACCATTCTAACACTTTTCTTATCAGGTCACAAGGCATACTGTATCATGCCGACCGAAACGCGGTTCTCGAAAAAAAAAATACAGTAACCGAAAACACAGGTTTCGGAACGAAAACTATTGTCAATTCGAAAAAATCTTTGAGTTTTTTTTGCTGATAATAAAGCCCCGCCCGTTTTGTTTACGGTGATTTTCGCCTGAAAATTTAAAAGGGGCGGAGTCTACAGTAACCACCTTTGTTGTTTGAAAGCTCACCTGCACGATTTTTAAATCAAAATATTCCATAGACTAAAAGAAACGGACGAAACCCGAGAAACATCTAGGAAAATTAAAATATTTTTCACCGCCGTTCTTCCTCCGGGACACTGGTTTTTCTAGACTATTAAACATATATTTCAGCTCTGGGGCCTTGTCCGATGTATATCACAATCATGTCATTCCCATTTTCACTCAAAATGTCTTGCTGAACACGGACTCAAGAACAAAAATGAGTATGCTGATCAGATATATCCACTGAAATCGAATTGCCCAATTTGCGGTCACTTTTACTTGTGGGGTGATGTTGTAAGAGAACAACGACGAATCATTAAGGTAAAGTGTGGTTTCTTTTTCAGTTGCTAATCAGTTCATCTTTCAGGTCTCCACAAAATGCGCCGAAGAATTCCGAAACAAAGTGGTACGAAAGGATTTGCCTCATCGAGAGATCAGTTCGCGTCTCCGTTTGAAGAAATAATTGACTTATCTAGTTTATCTTGATTAATTTAACTGCTTCGACATTACTAGAAACATTCAACTCACCACTTATTCGCAATGAATATAAAAATTGTACAGTTTATTCGGTTTCAGTAAAGAAGTGAGGTACCCTAGGCAAGACATACGAACAAATAGAATTTTGGGTGAGATTTCAAGTGGCTGTGATAAAAGAGAACAGTTGAGGAACTTTTGAGAACCAATGGGATGGGATAAAACTGGGTGAAATTGAAGAATAATTTGATTAGTTTTCTTTATCCGCGACGAGCATTTTTGGAATATTAGCAGCAGTTGTCTTTCTTGAATAACAGTATTCTGGAGTTCTGAGATGAGACCGTGGGCGGAGCGTCGATAAGCGGGGAGAAATGTATGGACACTTTAGTGGTGGCTCGGTGATCACGGAACGAAGGGCATCGGAGAGGCACTGAGACAAAAATGCAACAGAATCCGGGCGATGACGTGTTGGGGTGTCATTACTATTCTCATCTGCGTACATATCCATGAAGTCTTCGTTGTCAAACTGCAGACGTGGAATCGGCATGTTTTCGCGAAGATGTGGGGATGGATGAGAGACACCTTCTGGACGAGGCGAAATATCGGTGTAAGCGTTGAAACGATCCAGTGATAGACGTGCCTTACGAGTTCTTTTTGCTTTTGGGGCGTTAGCCAGTTCGGATGGTGCTGGAACGAACAAAATTTCTTTGTGAAACATGGAATTTCCTCTATTACCAACTCTCGATATCGGGCTGTAACGAATAGGAGAAGCTACTCGTTTTCTGCGCTCTCCTGTTGGTCCACGAATCACTGATGTCCGATAACTCCGATCAGTTCTCAAGGAATATGGCTTCGGACGAACGGGAGTGGACATTGAAGTTCTAGTACCTTTTGGATGCAAAGTGGTTGGGACGAGTAGTTTTCTGCAATTTGAAAATTTATTTGATGCGGTCGAGAATATTTTCCATCGAAATTTTCAGACTTCTAAATTAAAAAAGCTTACAACTAAAGAAAAATCCGAAATTCTCAAAAAACAGAAAAAAATGTTTTGAGAAAATCGCCAAGGATTACGGTAAGTGTGTGCACATCGAATGCGTACAAAGCCTAATACCTTACGCGCAGAATGGGAATTAAAGAAAAAATATATAAAGAAAAAAATACATTTTACAAAAAGATGAAAAAATAGTGGAAAAAATAGCGAAGTGAGGGGAGCTCTGAAAATCGTAACATTTGAAATAATACGAAAGAGCAGAAAATTCCAAAAAATACTGATGCAGTATTATGCTTGTCTGAGAAAAAAAGGTTGAGACGCAGAGAAAAAGTGTCTGTGTCTCCACCGTTTGTGTGCTATTTAGGCTCTCCGCTTCGAAATCGCTACCGTATTCAGACTGCAAAAAATACTCTCTAACCTTTTTTTCTCACACAAGCAAAATAAACACTCTAAATAATAGAAAACGTAAAAAGCATTCAACTTTGATCTCTCATTTTCTCGGTTCCTGTATAATATATAAAAAAGTGGTCAACTAACAAAATGTTTACCATAATATCAAAAATATTTTGTCAGTTGACAAAATTTCGATCCTTCGCAAGAACTGAGATAAATTGGCTCATGTCTGAAAGTTAGCTGTGCCTTCTAATACCGTATTTCCTCTAATAAATCCCCACCTCTATTTGAAGCCCACCTCTAATAGAAGCTCATGGACTCCGATTAGAAAAAATAAAAGAATTTGAAATTCCAGAATTTCCGTAACTATGATTTTAGAACTCGACATTTTCTCAATTCCTGAATTTTCCAATGTTTTCTGGAATTTCAGAATTTCAGAATTTGAATTTTGAGGCCCTCGATTTTCAGAATTTCATAAATTCGGAATTCTGGAATTTAGAATCGCGGAATGAAAGATTCGAATTTTCCAAAACACTGAATTTCAGAATTCTGAACTTCCGAATTGTCAAGTTTCTGAGTTTTTGAATACATTTTTTTGAAAATAAATCATTGAAAACTAGAAGCCCAGCCTGAGAAAGAGATTGAAAAATAAAAGCCCATGGGCTTCTATTAGAGGAAATACGGTATATTGGCTTTCTAATAGTGTTTATGGTATTCATTATAGCACCTTGTTCTTGTTTGAAAACATGCAAACTTTTCTTGAAAATAATGTGTAATTTCATTACTTTTGAAAAAGACTGCAACTTTTGATGATTTGATATTCACCAAAAAAAATGCAGTGGGTCCACTGAAAGAAGTTTTATTGTCCGACTTGTTTGAAGAAAAATAGCAGAAAACTCGAAAAGCACTGAAAAACTAGAAAATCAATAAGAAAAAGGAATATTTTTTTTAGGTTACGGTAGGTGTCGTTGTGGGACCTTCTGAAGTTTTTCTTTTACAGATCTGATTTCTTCTTACCAGAATGATAACTAATCGCAAAAACAATCTAACGGAGAATACCGAAATTCAAAAAAGAGTCCTCCAAGCTTGTCCATCTCATTTCATTCCCCTTCCCACCCGCTTCTCCACCACACCTCTTCTCTTCATTCCGTGGCTCCGCCCACTTGCCAGAGACGGCTGACTAACCAAAGCCCGCCCGGCGACTGCGAATACTTGACGGTTATCTGTTGTAAGTTTCGTGGATATTCTCGGAAATGAAGAGGACCACGAACGACCAACAAGGTTCTTTCCAAACCGACTACTTCCTTACCCAACTTTCGAATTTCACCGAAGCGAAATTCTCACTTTTCGAGCATGCGCCAGCTAATGAGAGGAGGGATCGATTCAGAAATCACATCGAGAGAGATGAAATGCCTTTGGTAAGATTTTTAAAAAATTTTATTTTCTGAGTTTTTGAATTCTATAGTTTGGGTTGTTCTGTATTTTGTTTCCATCAATTTCTAATATAGTTTCTAAAAATCATTTAACACTGTAGTTTCAATTCCTGAAGTAGCTATTTAATTGACTCCCAGAAATAACATGATTGTTTAAATAACAAGTTGTTAAAGACAGTAATCTCATATTTAAAATACACTAATCAAACAGTAGTTCCTCTTATAATGACATATTACTGATAACATCATTTTCATTATTTTTTAACGGAATTACAGATTCCTTCCTTAACACTTTCTGTGTTCCAGCTTTTCATAGCAGTAGTAATAGACCTGCTGGCTCTCTGGGCGACACTCTGATAATTTCTTCCGCTCCTTATCATTGTATTTCCTTCCCAGTTTCCACACATTGACGTCGTTTTTAGAAAAGAGAGTAATCAGATTGAAAACTAGGTGAAGAAATGGGGGAGAGAATGACACGGTTAGATGTCATCTCTTGGCGACAAGGACATAGAGATCCGTTGTAGATTACGATACATTAATGTTTTATATGTATTCCAGACATTCTGCAAGATGGGAATCAACATTCCGGTCAAGTTAGAATGGTGTCAAACGATTGGAAATGAGGTAAGAATTGGAGAAGAAAAACAAGTGATATCAAATAGAGATCTGTTTCTTTTCTTTCGTATGTTTTCTGCATTGAAGGTGGTATACGGGGAAATGTTTAGTATTTTATTTTGTGCAAAAAACCATGCAGATTTCTATAAAAAAAAGAAGAAACTCAAAAAATTCTTTATTAGGAGGAAAACGCATTGAAAAAAGATTTTGTTTTGAAGTTGGTCCTTATGGACGAGCATGAGTTTTCTAGTCCCCGCGGCCGCGGCTTTCGAATTTTTTTTCTTGATTTTCGGTTTTCGAAAATATGTTTTCGTTTTTTTCCCTCTAATAGAGTGCCACCCCTACTGTGTCTTCAAATATATCGGTTTCTAAAACAAACATTTTTTAGTTCGAAACTTTTTCGTGTTTCTAATAGGAACCAGAATACCTTCCACACTCTGATAGAACGCGACTCTTAACTTTAAACTATGACCCAATTTATCTCATTCCCTGTAGTAGGTATCAAAACGTTGACGACAGACAAAATATTTTTAATATTATGATAGACATTTTTACAGTTGATAACTTTTTGATATCTTTTACAGCAACCGAGATAATTGACTTCAATGTTGACGGTTTGGGGGCGTTCTACATATTAGAGTGTTTACGGTAATTGAGCAAGTACAGGAGCAACGTTCTATTAGAGGAACAATATTACCATGTGCGCTTTAAAAAATTGCATAAGTTTTTTCCAGATCAACTTTCGATCCCGCCCATTTTTATTCAACGGAATTTGGGTGAAAGTGTTTGGAACGATGAATTCCGAATCATTGGATGGACGCGTCCGATTTGAAAGATTTCAACGTGAGAAGAGTGTGCATCATCGTGTGCTAACAGAAACGAAAGTCAAGTTTCCAGAAGTGGAAGAGGAACCCATCGGACTCACCGATGCCGAAATCGCAGCACTTCGGAGGGATGGATTGAATATTTGATTGTTTTTTGTGAACACTGTATATTATGTGTACTGTACTCTGTGTTAATATATGTTACGGGTTGATGTCGAAAACTACTAATAATAATATGAATGAAAATGAACTAATTTATTCTTGATTTTTGAGATTGTGTTAAGTCGGGTGGAGGTGTGAATCCAGGGTGGCGCACAATTATTCGAGTTGAAAAAAATGTAACTTGAAATTTGGTCAATTTACTGATTAATTATTTGAATTTTTGCAATCCAAATTTGAACCTAGTAAAACGCTTTATTCGAATTTTATGCTTGTACAAACTTTAGTCCGGGTAATTATGCACCACTCTGTACAAACAAAAATGTCCGGTCGGACAAAAACGATAACATAAATATTTTTCCTTCCTCATGTTTGTTTCAAAACTACATATTTCCTATTTATGACGTCCTCCTACGGTTCTCGATTATCAGTGATAGGAGTAGTTTTTTTAATGGATGATTCAAAAAAAAAATAGAATGATTCATGCAAAAAATATTTTAACTTCTGATTTTTTGATTTCTCTTATCATACAGTTAACACTCTATTACCCCCTAAATTTCAACTCTGAGCCGAAGTATCTCGATTCCTGGGAAAGGTATCAAAAAGTCGTAAAATGTTTTGATTTTATGATAACAAAGATGTAGAAGGCCACCCAAGCCGCCAACTTTGAATCTATATATCTCATTTCCTGTGAGAGTTATCAAAAAGTGGTAAACGGATAAAATGTTTAACATAAAGTCAGAAAAAAAACTTTATCAGTTTACAACTTTTTGATATTTGTCACAGTAAATGAGATATATGGTCTCAAAGTCAATGGCTTGCGAGGCATTCTATTGGAGCGTTTACGGTACATATCAAAAGGGATTACTGTAGACGGATAGAACATTTTCAAGTTTTTGAGCTTCATTTTTGTAATTGACAACTTTTTCGTAAAAATTCATCCAAATGAGGTATACCGTTTGAAAGCAACCACGTGTCAAAACTTTCAGAAATAGCACTGAATCCAAAGACACTTTCAAGAAATTAATCTCATATGGATGAAATTTTACTACAAAGTGGACAACTACAAAATTAAAGCTCTATTTTTGTTTAGAAAACCTGAGAGTTTTCAGCCGCGTTCAACAATGTCTACTATGTTTTGTAGGCATTCAAAGTTGGCTATTTTCTTTTTGGCCGGTATAATACTAACTAACTAAAACCAAAGTAAAAACTTTTTCTGACTCCCATCCTTGGAACTTGCAAACTCTTCAGTCAGTACTTGAGCTTAGTTTGCTTATTTCTTCTTCCGATTATTCCCGATTTCATTAACATTCTCTCACCTCTGCTCTATAGAGCATATCTGTTTTGTAGTTGTTGTGATCTCTTGGAAGAGTTGCCCCTCTCTCCCTCTTTGTTTCAAATAAAGTTGTAACATTTATGTGTTAATGTGGGTCCACACCAACTTGTTACACTTAGAAGACTTATGTCCTCCACCCGAAACTTTTGAACAGAAAGAAGAACATATGAATAAAATTAAAGGGCACTCTCCTTCGAAGGGGGAGGTTGTAAAATGATTGAACAACTCGCGCATCTTTTGACTTCCGGCCGACAAAGGATGGAATCAAAAAGACATAAAACAAAGATGTCATTAGATGCTTTTTTTGTTTATCGAAAGGTTAGAGTCAGAGAATTAAAGGGAAAATGAGGTAGATTCGGAAGTTTTGGAGCTAAAAACATGTGCCGTAAAGAATATTAGGCCACCCAAACTGCTTACTTTGAGCTCATATATGTCGGTTCCTGTGAAAAATATCAAAAAATGGTAAACTGACAAAATGTTTATCTTGATATCAAAAGTACTTTTTAGTTGACAACAGTCTAATTTCTTTTACAAGAACCCAGATATACTGGCTCAAAATAAGCGGTTTGGGTGGCACTCTTTTAGAATGTTTGCGGTACATCCGAGTGACTTCGCTTGTAGTTATGCGAACTAATTGATCTGAAGTGTCTTGCAAGAAATACGCTATTCTACAGTAATTTTGTTGAATTGAAGACTAGTGCATTTATCTTTTGGAACTAAACCTACAGTAGTCTTCCCAACTAGATTGAAGTTAATAACTACAACACTCTGCAAGTTAGATATTAGTCTGGTACGAAAACGGAACTGTTGAAGAAAAGGTCCCATAAGGACAACTACTGTAACCTCAAAATGTTCTCATTTTCTGAGTTTTTTCTAAAATTTTCAGTCAATTTTAAAGGTAACAAAAAACTCGACGAAGGGAAACTTGAACATTTTTAGGCTACGGTAGTTGTGGGACCTTTGGCAACGACCACCGGCGTTTCTCTTCCACAGCTTCGATTGTTTGTACCAGAACTATATCATGAACCGATTTGCTTTAATTTGCTTTAACCCATGAGCATATTTGCCTGGTATTCTGGCGGTTATGTAGACAGTTGCGCTCCGAAATGTGACAGACCAATTCAATATTGCTTCGACCGGAAAGTTTATGGAAAGTGCCAATTATCTGGGTGCAAAAGATTGTCAATGGTCAAATGCGCCAAGAACATTGTGCCAATATTGTGCCAAAAACATATGTTTTCAGCAGTTTGTCATCGAATGCCACCGATGTGTTTAGAATCCTCAACTGTTTTTTTTTCAATAAAAAAAACAAAAAAAAATTGAAAAATCTTCGATGAACCCATGAGCATATTTGTGAATTTCTTCAAAAATTAAATGTCTGTTTTTATTCTGGAAAATGCCTATACATAACGAGGAACTCCCGAAAAACATGTTTAGATTGCGTAAATTTTATTCCAGAGCCAGTTATGACAGCTTAAAATAAAACAAAAAAAAATTGTGCAAAATTTTTGGGATAGGGAGTATCGAACCTACAACCTTCCTCCTCTGAACTTGCCATTTTACCACTTTACCACACTGCTGATTGAAATCTATTGTTTTAAAAGAATTTCACGAGAAATTGCTTAATCATAGGGAAACTTTTCTAGGTCATAACTCAACTCACGTGAGCATTTTGCTGATTTTTTAAACAGATTTGGAATCCTCATAAGCTCTTCTATCTGCTCCCAAAATTTCAAAAAAAGTTAAAACTGCTCCCTCAAGTAACTCCCTTGTAAGAATACAATATTCTTTTAGCAACAGTAACTACTCCTTCAAAACTACAGTAACCCTCCAAACCAACAAAAACAGTAGTTCTACATGTCTGAAAACACAAACTACAAAAGTTGCAGTTTGCTTAAAACTGTTGTAGTAAAATTGAAATTTTATCACATTTCTCAACTTATTTTTTCAAGAAAACCAGAATCGTATTAATAGACAAGAAAGATTAATAAACACAATTTATTCAAATGTATCTAACACCATATGGAGTTGTAATGGCAGTTCCATAATACATTGGCTGAGCGACGACTGATGTTGCAACGACTGGAGCAGCTACAACTGGAGCAACAACCGGAGAGGCAACGACCATTGGAGTAGTTGCAACCATTGGAGTCACAACTGGAACTACTGATGGCACGTATGGCTGAAAATGTTCATTTTGGACTTTATTTGAACTTTCAAATTACTTGATAAACATTTCCGCCCCACATGATGAGTAGAATGGTGAAGATAGAGAGTTGTTAGTAGGGAACGAAGGTGTTAGTAGTAAAGTGGATACTGAATTCATAGAAAACTTCATAAGACAGATTGACTTCTTTTTGAGATAAAAATCGGAAAAATTGTGGAAACGGTTGGCACGTTGAACATTTTTTGGGGTTATGCACGTAATGCAATTGAAATGACCTAGATTGGGCTAATTTTACTTCCCTTAAGATTCGAGTCTAGACACACAAAACTAAAGGCTTCCAGCGTTATTGTGAAAAGTTCCGGCTTTTTCGGGTTACTGTAGCACCGAATGTACGCAAACACCGAATAATTAAACAAATTTTCCGGTTTTCTTTTAAGCATTACTAGCCGAAAACCTATTTGAATCAACTATTTTAGCTGAAAATTGTCGATATTAGTTGTTTGAAAATCTACTCGTTAGAACTTCTGGGTTTGAAAACTTCAGAGATTTACATTTCTCGTGCTTCACAACTTTTTGTGCAATCTCTTGCATAATATATAGTTTGTGTAGACTCCACTGTACTTTTGTGTCCCTTATTTTTTAAATCAATTTCAGTGGTAATTTTGATATTTTTGAGATACATTTTCTTTTACTTTTCAACCAGTGATAGGCAAACCAAGAAGACAAGTACTAAATGCATTCTCGAAACTCCCAAACTGGACCATTTTTCACTAAAATAGTAAAAAGGTTCCGAATTTAGATTCTGAATTTTTTGACTTCGATAGTCTATTTTTTGAATTTTTTTACTTCGATAGTCTGGCCGGAATTGTAGACATCTTCCAAACTTGAAAAATGAACTATTTAGCTGGGACCTTGATCATTATCTTGTATAAAAAAAACTACCAGATAATTTTTTAACGTCCTGATTGTAGAAGTTTGTATTGCTAATTAATATTTTCACCATTCTAATAATCCCACGGTACCGAAAATTTTTAGTAACTGGAAGTTCTTTTGTAGTACTACTTTGAACCCAAAACTTACTTCCTAGATCATATTCTTTTTTAAAAAAATCCATCCTAACGCACGTCCCCTATTACCATCATCCTAGAGTCAGACATTTCTTCTGGGGGCAGTCTGACGATGAAATCTGTCAACGTCACGTCATCTGACTACATTCATATGTAGTTTGATGAGTCAGTCTATTGTTCTAGCACCGTAAACGTTCCCCAGTACCGACAGGACCATCTTACGTCATCCATCTTGCAACGTGTCACATCGTTTGTGTATTATTCAAAGTAGTATGTGAAAAGTGGACACTGGTGCACCGTTTTGCCAAAAACCACCTTTTGAATGGTTTTCAGGTTTTTCAGGGTATTTTTCTTGGATATTCCTACTTTACTGTCAAAGTTTGTTACATATGTCTATTGTCGAATTAAACAAACCGGGACCTGGAAAATTTCGCGGGCGGCTTCCCTGTCGATTTTCGAGGCCTTGACCAAAAATCACTACAGTAGTAAACGAAACTTATTTCTGTGAATTTAGTGAGATTTTCTGGACAAAATTTAGATTTCTTGGTATGAAAATGATCGCTAGCATTTTTAGAATCTGATTCTCATCGAAAAAGCAAACTTTATTGCGAAAATAGCTTGAACGAGGCGAAAGTCTGAAATATGACATTTTTGCCGCGCTTTTTCGTAGACCAAAAGAAGCGAAAGTTTTCAAAATCTCAGGTTTCACTTTTTTAATCCGACAATATGCACAATACCTCTTGGCATCGTGCGATTGTGTAAACCAAAATAGTCAGTAAAACCAAAATGGTTAAAGAGTAAGACACCTTCCGGAATTCAGGTCTTTTTCCACTTTTTACAAAGTTGCTCTATGTTGACTGGATCTCGATTTCCAAAAAGAACTGTTATTATAAAATAGTGGATTCCTGTCTACCACAATTTCGTTCAAAAACTGGGACTTCATTCACAGTGAACGAACGGTCCGTCGACAATCCGTCAACAGCCCCCTAGCAAGGCGACGACTAAACGGCCTTACTTTCGATATGACACGTTGCAAGAGAGATGACGTTACGATCAGATTTATTTTAAAGCAGATGCCCAGACATACTAAGTCATGCTTTCCGTTAGCACAGCCACAGCCGGCGAAATCACTTTGATTAGGGTACTTGGGATTGGTATGATACGCGGCCTAGCGACCCTAGTGGTTTCTGGGTTGCTGAGTGTTTTTCGAAAGAACGGACTTCTTAGTCCACGGCAACCTACCCACGGCCTAGCAGTAAGTCAGCCGGCCGCGAGTTGCATAGTTTTGGTTTCTTCAGGAACAGCCAATTATATATGTGGATTAGGTATTTGTTTGGGACAGATAGGTGTTTCTACTAATACAAAAAACTATCTTATCCTATCGAAATGCACATTTTAGGAATCAGGACCTAATCTCATTTTGAGATCTCTCATTTATTATCTGACTACAGTATTTAGGTGACAGCTACGGAAAATTAACCAGGAGGCATTATAGAATATCGCAATGCTACTCGGATGTCAATATGGAGAATACGGACCCGTTTTTGGTCCGTTCGCGGTTGTAAACTAGAAAGTTGGTAATCTTATTGATTTCTGAAAGAAAACACGGTTTCATCCAAAATTTGTATCAAACAACTGAGATTAAGATTTTTTCAAATTTTAGTGATACAGAATAAAAATGAAGTATGATAGACTAAGTAAGACACAATATAGCACATTCCCATTCTCACCCTCTCTGATTCCCATCTCCCTTCTGGGAACCGTCTGACATCCACCTACAGATCTGTATGTAGTCTGGTACGTCTCCTTTTATTGCTCTTGTACCGCTCTAAGCGTTCCCATAAACTGACCAGAGCCCCCTCTTACATCATCCATCATTTTCAGAATGACACGTCATGTCTTACGTCATCATGCGCAGAATCACACTACGCGCGGAGTTCCATTCTCACCTCTACCATCTGCTATGTTGTGACGTGGCCGGAGGAGACCAGACACCCCTGCACAACTAACGTCTTCCGATTACTCTTGAATGCATAGAAGACCTATGGGCACGTTGTACAGTTTTAGCTGGCGCTTGGGATGATGGATTCGCTTACAACAAGTAGACTATCTTATCTAGATTTCTTGGTGCATTGAGTTCTTGCACAATCATTACGCAAATAACCGAACAAGATGAAGGAAAAGAGACTGAAAAGTGTGCGGTAAAAGACAAAGAGCAGCGAGATGAATGATGTGAAAGGGATGTTGCGTTGCATTTAAAGTTAATTGTGATAGATTAGAAGTGTGACTGGGAAGACGGAAACATTATATATCTTTGTCGGAGTTATGTATCACTGAATGTAAGAAAACGAACGAAATTTCGAATTCTAGAATTGTTTTTTGAAAATTGCAATAGAAGAGAGCATCACCTCCAATGTGTGTTTTTCGAAAGACACTTTTTGAAAACGGTTTTTTTCGAACTTTCGTTTACATAAAAAACAGACCAGACGATTAACAGTTCATTTCTAGGCTATAAAACTTGGTGGCCTAGAAAGCTCTACTTGCGAAAATTAGGCCACCATGGTAAATGTCCTAGGAAACATATCAGGTGCATGTTAGTCTAATTCTGAACTACGAACTACGGTGGCCTAGGAAATTCATGTTGAGAAAGATAATCCTCACAAGAAACCGGAGTGTGTGATTTTCGACATTGATCGAAAAATCGTTCGAATTTTTTTCGAAAATTTTTTGAACGATTTTCCCCTATACCTCCAATCATCACTGACTTAGAAAAAAAGGTTATAAACCCAAATCTCGACGAAGTTGAGAAACAGAAAAAAGAATATAGTAAAATCGATTGAAAACATAACATGTATGGCTAGTTTGCAACTTTTCCAGATTGTCCGTCACGGAGTATGTATATTTTTTTTCCTCTTTCGGCTGCCAACTAGCAGTTATTCGCAAGTTTGCTCCTTTTCTGCCGTCAATGTGAAATTGCACTTTTCAAAATCCACAAAGTTCAAATGATTTAGCAAATCGCGAAAGCTTTTTTTTAAATTCCGTATATTGATTGTTTCTATCAGAGATGCCAGGAATTCCGACTTCCGATTTCCGATTTCGAAAATTTACTTCCGACTTCCTACTAGCGATTTCCAAAAAACAGCCTTTACATTGAGCCAATGTATCTTGATTCCTGTAAAAGATAACAAAAAGTGGTCAACGGATAAAGTTTTTTTCTGACTTTATGATAAGCATTTTATCCGTTTACCACTTTTTGATAACTCTCACAGGAAATGAGATATATAGATTCAAAGTTGGCGGCTTGGGTGGCCTTCTACATCTTTGTTTGGGGTGTGCTGAATCTTAACCAAATTATTGTTTCTTTCATTGGAAAACTGTCAATCATCGTTATGTTCTATAACTATCGTAAATCCATTATAATGACGTTTCTTGCCACTCATCTGTCTATAACCCTTCATATCCCACAGGAAACCATGTTGTTACCAGGCACCTCCTATTATATATCCTCTCTCTCTCCCGTTCTTGTTGCTCCCCTGTATGTACCCATTCCCCATTCGATTTGGCCCCGCCCCATGAGAGGGACCTTCAGACTCCGCCCTCTATCTCGTTTTCGTATCTCTGTAGACATTAGGATCCACTCATTAATTACTTCCAACTTGTTCTCTACCTTTTTCCTTCAATCGTTTTCTAACTCTTCTTTTCTTCCTCTCCTCACAATTATTATTTCGCTTTTTTCAGTTCAAACTCCCCATCCCAACGCCATGCAGTTCCCAACCACCCCAGTCAAGCGACCATCAGTCTCCAAGACTGTTGTGGTGGCAGGGGATTCGGTCGTTATGAGACCAGCTGGTGGAGTTGGTGCAAGACGGATCAGTGCACCGATCCGAGATGTTCCATCGGAAAGAATAGGTAATTTCATTTTTTGAACATAAATACCGTAATCTGTTATAGAAAAGCTTCCTGGCTTTTTACTTTGAGTCAATTTTTCTCGGTCCCTGTCAGAGATATGAAAAAGTTGCCAAACTATAAATTGTGTATCGTAATATCAAGAACATGTTGTTAGTTGATTTTATTTTGATATACCGTAAACACTCTAAAAGAACTCCACCCAAATAGTTAAATTTGAGCACATGTATCTCATTTTCTGTGAGAGATATCAAAAAGTGGTCAACTGATAAAATGTTGCTGATATCATGATAAACATTTTGTTAGTTGACAACGTTTTGATATCTTTCAAAAGAAGTGAGATATATAGGCTCAAAGTGGACGGTCCGGGTGGCGTTCTATTAGAGTGTTTACGGTATTTTACAGAAATCTAGATAATTGAGCTTAAACTTGACACCCTTTTACAGGGTTTACGGTGTTTTTGTCCTTATACCCTTTTTCAAAATTATTTTATTGTTGTCTTTTTTCAGCTCCGGATCAAGTGGTTGACGCTCCAAGAGCGTGGCGATCGCGCCGACTCTCTCCAGAGTTGGATGCGTTCATCATGTCCCCACCAACCGTCGTCGCCGCAGCCGCCGCCGCACCAACAAAGGATAAGGAGAAGAAGAAGACCGTCGAGACGCCACGCCGCCGATCCACCCAGCTCGTCAGCCAGCCGAAGACGCCCAAAACCCCAGTGAGGCCAGCGATGTTGAAAAGAGCCAAGAGCTTCGGAAGCTTGGCTCCTCTCAGACCACATCGAGTGGAAACTCGTAAGGTTCTGAGAGACATCACCACCGTCCGTCGTCCAGTTCTTCCTTTCTAAAATCTAATTTTTATCTTTCCTTTCCGTTGATTTGCCCCTGTGATACATATCTCTTATATGACTCGGGTTGCTTGTAATGTAATTGTATAATTTGTAACTTCTTTTGTGGAATCTCTGAAATGTAACAGATGTTGTTCTTATTCTTAAATATTTATTTCTATATGCTTTGCAACCAATAATGAACTTTTATTGAAAGCTTCAAGCCTCCTCAAATGTTCAAATTGGTCAGTCTTCCGTATCGAATACATCTCCTTTTTCGAGAATAAAAAAGATAATATCGGTCAGATGGAACAATTGTCTACTGTGAAAAGACCTGTATTAAGACGCATTTTTATTGAAAAATCAGAATTGGAAAAAATGTGAATACACTTTTCTGAACCTTCTTTGTATCGTCACCTCGTGACTGAAAAGATTTCCAGACCGTCACCTCATGACTGAAAAGTTTTCCAGACCTTTCCACCAGTCTTCCACTTTTTTCATTCCGACTGCTGATTGCGTCAGCTGACCTTAAAGTGTGTCACACTTGTTGCGGCATCAGAATTTCGTAAATTAAAACAAGAAACATGTTGCAATCTTCTTCTTCATCAGAAGAAAATAACCAAAATTAGAGTAGTAAACAGAGAAGGCTTTCCAGTTCCGGCGCACTTCTAATTGCCTAGTTGTCTTATGCCAAACTTATTGTCTGGTGATGGATGTGCCACTTTCTCTCTCGTCCGTTTCTTCTTCTTCGTCTCTCGCTCGAATCGATTGTCTTCGTGGGAGAGATATCTGACGTCTCCACGCGAGAAACACTCTCTTCATCTTCTTCGTCTCCTCCATCGCAACACTCTTTCTTCCATGCGAAGCTACACCGCATCAGCGTTTTCTTCTCCTTCTTTCTCTACACTCTTCCTCCGCCTCCAACTTTCTCAATACTGTTTTACTTTTTTCTCCTTTACAATCCATCCATCTGCTGACTCATTTTCAAATTGAACAGATTCGGCGCGAGAATTCCGAATTTATAGTTAGAAATTTCCGTTGTATTCTTTTCGTAGGGTTTTGCTCTCCTAGTTTTTTTCTTTCACTCAAATTTTAGAGAGGAAGTGCACTTCCTGCAAAACATTTATCTAGCTCTTTTTGCATGAGCTTTTTTATCTTCTAGTTTTATTCTTCTTGTCAATTCAAGTACACTTCTAGAACTTAGTTTTCAGATTCAGAATTCTAATTTTCAATCATCTTGGATTCAGAATAGATGTTGCCACGGGGATTCCAAACAGCGAACTTGACGAAAAGCTGCGTAGGTTGCATTGAACCTAACGACAAACTGCGTAGTTTCCAATATTTCTTTTTTTTTCAATATTTTTCTGTTTCTCGCTCGAAACATAAAAAGGGCTTCTTGTGACAAAACGATTCACCGAAAATCATCTATCATCAAACACCACTTCTCTGAAACTCAATTCGATTGTTTTCCCCATTTTTTCCCTATCAGCAAAACGATAACAAACTAATTCTGTATGTTCTCGTGTTGCTAAACTCGGATTTTTTTACATTTCAAATAACTATTTACCAGCCAGTTTTGTTTCGAACAAAAAAGTTTTGTGATCAATGTGCATCAGTGAACCGATAAATGTCAACAAAGCCCCTCCTAGGCTCTTCGATTGGCACTTTACGAGCAAAGTCAAATACTGATTTGATTGGCCTTCTATCTCGGAAGAGAAGGATCAAGAGGCGAATCTCTAGATCGCTTTTTGCTGTTCTCGCTATTCAATCTGTTTAACCTTCACCAAACGCATCCTATTTCCTATTTCATTCCTGAATAGGCAAACGGGAATACTATACTCCTCTGCTAACCACTTTCATTTACATTCTTGAATATCAAATCAGTGTGGGTGTGGTAACTACACATCGAAAAACACAGATTATTCCACCAAAAAACTCCCTTCTCCCTCGTGACGTATATTCTCCCGCAATCGTCATTACCTTCTGAAATTGGTCATTTATTATCCTCCATATATAATCAATGCAGATTTTAACCGGTTTTTTCTTTGCTGGCCCACTATTGTTCATCACTAATTTGTTCAGTTGTTGGCTGTTCGTACTTCACCTAATGCAATTAGAACTCCAAATGAGTCATCAGAAATTATTGATTTCAATCATTCCCGCATTATTTGTTATCAGTTGTTATAGGCGACCCTCATGTCGCTCCCTTTCCTCCCGCTTATCGTGCGCTTGACCTGAATTTTGCCCTTTGGAATTTTCCTCTCCGTTTGTACGCTCACAAATACATAGCAATTCGAAAAGAAACCCCGCAATTGTGACGCTCGAGTATTAGTGTTTTTTGGCAGTTTTTCGATGTGTAATCCATTCGGAATTTCATATTACCCTGCGATATACTAAATCACACAGCTGTTCGATTTTTTATAGCGGAAGTGTTTGGGAGCAAGGACAAATACAAAGCAGCACACAGCGTCGAAGCACCCCAAACTTTTTGTTTGCTCGAGAGCCTTGTGTCAAAAACTAGCAGATATTCCATCCTCAACACTTTTTGACGCGCGCCTCCTCATCATCAGAAGGCGAAATCTGTCAGATTCGACCCCAGATATCCGGTTGTCATTTAAGAATACTCTCATTTCTCGATCGATCGCTCAAAAAACATTCATTTGCTGGTTGGAATAGTAGCATTTAGCTTCTGGTTTCCCATGGTCAGACCAGTTCTCCTTCCCACTCCATTCTCTTGCTTTTTGTCCACACGTGGCTGAGCGTTGTAGTGTGTTTTCGGCCGCAGTATTACGTATGGGTTTATAGTGTTCGTCCCACTCGTCACCGATTGTTTTTACATAGCTTCCGTTCTTTTTTCTCTTCCGTTTCTTTTTGCGATCCCAAACGATTATCCTTCTTTTTTTTCAGATAGTCATGGATTTGACCGAACAACAAATTCGCGGATTGCCGCACCAAGATCTCATAAACTGCTTCCTACAGATGCGAGAAGAGTTCAACGAATTCCAGACGAGTTCATCGGAAATCGAAAAAATGATGGACACAGAGATGGATGAGTTGAGGTCGAAATTGAAAAAGGAGGAGAGCAAAGTAGGCCAACTGACAACGGAGCAGTTGAAAAATAAGGTTTGGTTTTTTTTTTGTGGCTCTCTGATAGATCTTTATCTTTTGAAGTGTGTGCCCATAATAACATGTGAATTGCCCTATAATCCTCTGACTCGAATATTGTTTTTCAAATTTCGAACATAGATTTTTTTTCAGGACAGACAAGAAGAGTCACGAGTTCAATGGATTAATCTAGAAGAACAATTACGACGAGAGAACGCAGAACTTCAAGAAAGATGCGAAAGGCAAAAAGAACGAATTTTGAAGTTAGAACAGCGAAACGACGCTTTGGAGACATCCGAGCGGAACAAAGAGTTTCTCTCGTTAGATCTAGGAACCAAACTCGATCAAGCCGTTGAAAAAATCGCCATGCTGGAGTGTGAGCTACATGAGAAACAAGAACGTGAACACGAGCACATTCGAACATCAGAGAGACCTCGTTTGATAGTCGAGCCATTGAGAAATGACCCAGAAATGCTGCCAGATGAACCTTCTCCTGGTCCAAGCAAAGAAGAATTCAGAATGAGTGAGTTTTTCATTTAATGCATTGCCTAACCCTAAAACAGCTGTAGGCATCGATGACGTTCACATGGAAGATGTTCAAGACACAATGGAGGAAACCATTTCGAAAATTGATGAAGTTTGCATCGACGACAACAAGAACATTCAAGCGAAGGTGTGTTTATTCTTCCTCACAATCTTGCATACAGACCTTGCAAAAAACTCCCCTTGAACAAACATTTGTCTACCCTTTCATGGAGTTCCTGTGCCAACAATCGCATAGTTTTCAGAATCGAAGTGTATCCACCGGAACGGGCGCCGGGGCTTGTATCAATCGAATCGTCAAAGATCTGATGACAAAAGTCGAGCGATTGGATTCGATTTTGTCGACTATCCGTGTGTCCAACTCGTCTAACAACAATTCTGTTCATCTAACCACAACACGGGCCTAGATTCTTTTCTAGTTTCTTTCCTTTTTTTCCTTTTCTGTGACTTTTCATTCTCAGGGATTTCTCATCACTTTTCTATTCATTCGTTTCTCTCCCCCTTTTTTATCCCATGACATCATGTATAATGGTAAGTTTTAAATCTCCGCGTTCCTTTTTTTATTTGCCTTGAAACTGCTCAAAATCTGGTTAAATGCCATTGCAATTGTTGATTTTCACTAATTCTCTCCCAAATGTTTAAGTGCCTCTTATCAAATGTCAAATATGCTTTATATCCGTCACCAATGAAGAAGTTAAAAAAAGGAATGATTGCGAAGTGAGCACATGACAGAGAAGAAAAAAATGATGCAATAGAATTTAGAATTTGATAAATTAAAAAGGGTTAGTATCTAGCAATTTTTTGAAACGGCGAACGCCAGCATTCGTCCAATAACTGAGTTGTCACAGCAGCATTCAATTGATTTATCGGAAAGCGTCAGGATGCAAACATCTTTTCGTGAACGCGTCTGACAGGTGAAGATTGAGCATTCATCGCTGGAGTAGGCGTTGACAAATCGAGGAATCGAGGATGGGTTGACTGGATTTTCAAGTTGTATAACATGTTTATTCAGTCCTCCCAGACGGCTTCGTTCTTTAGAAATGTCTTCAGAAGAGAGCCTAATAGGCTGCACTTGTTCACCATATGGGACCTATAACAAGTCATAATTTGTATTTCTTACAAAATTGGCCAGAACCAACCTCAAACCGGAAATTCTTCTCATGACCGTCGCCTCTTGATAAAATCCATTCACGACTCGTGGCACTGTCACCGAGATCAACCAGCAAATTTACAGAAACTCGGGCTCCAGCAGGAATATCCCCAACTTTAGCGTTGCCTTTCACATCGAGACCCTCATTTGATTTCAATTCAACACCTTCCATATCCTTCTCTGAATTGTTAGCGATTCCAAATCGGATCGCGGTATATTGTCCATCGTTAAGTCTTGGATAACAGATAGCTAACACCAATCCGTTGCCCTCAATCACATTCAGCAATTCGATTTCTTTCTCTTCAATATAGGACGCATCCATGATTTGACGACTTCCAGCTGCCGAGAAATCCACGTCAATAAGTAGATCGAGTGCGTTACTTTCTGGTTTCGTTGCTTTACCATTCACGGCTTCTGCAAAAAGAAAATTGAAAAATTGGATAAATGTTTCAGTCACTTACTTGGTTTCACCTCAACCTGTTTCTTCACATGCTTCTTGGGTTTCCCCTCTGGTTCGCTGTCTTCCTCCTCCTCTTCCTCATCTGATTCTTCTTCACTCTCCTCTTCCTCTTCATCTTCGTCTTCATCTTCTTCAGATTCTTCCTCAGCATCTTCTTCCTCATCCTCACCGTCCTCTTCGTCTTCCTCATCCTCTTCTTCTTCTTCTTCCTCGTCTTCGTCATCTTCTTCCTCTTCCTCACTGTCGTCCAGCTTCAGCTCATTTGGTGCATGAGCCTCTTTTCTCAAACTTGGATCACTAGAAGTCGCAGGGAACTCCGGAAGATCAATGTATTTGGTGCATCGTTGATTCAAAACGTGTGATAATGATCCCAATTGGAATTGATCTCGTTCCTTGAAACTACTGATTAACTCAGGAGCCGGCTTTTTCGACATGAAAATCTCTTCCATGTGTTGAGATAAAATTTCAGTGTTGAACATCAAATTTCGCAGGAATCGACATCGATCACGTACGTCGTAGCTGAGATCAAAACGAGCTAGTTGGAAGACGTACTGAACGATTTTTTCGGAATCGTCCCGTTTCACAAGCCACAACTTGACGGCCAGTTTTAGAGCTTCCAATTTGACCAATTCGTTTTCAGTCGAGAATTTCTTTGCGATTAGTCTGAGAAGGTCTGGAGCCATATGAATGACTTGATCAACATGAGTTGCCACTAGCCAAATGACACACGCTCTTGCCTGAGCAGCAACCATTTTCGGCATAAGTCTCATGAGTCGGGAAAGAAGATTAACTGGTGCGGATGCGTGCAAGAGCCTCTTGATAACCACAACTGCTGAGCAAACCACTTTTTCATCAGAAGACGAAATCAGTTGGACGAGTCCGGTCATACATTGATCAGATACTGCTCCAACTCTTACTGCACACCTTCCAATCGCTTCCACAGCTGGTGATGCTAGGTCTGACATGTGAACATATGTCTGCAAAAAAGAAATATTTGAGTACTGTTTTCTAGGTAGTCAATATGTTACCTGTAGCTCTCTCAAAATAATATGGACATTTGCTTCAGATACCAAACTAGTGAGCACATGTAGTTTGAGCTGTTTGACAAGGGAACTATCGCAGGAACGAACGAAGAAAGACTTGAGGAAAGGATCGAACATAGTCTGAAACATTGGAAAAATTATGAAAACCGAAAAAATAATTCCCATATCAAGACAAGTTCACTGATACACAACCAAGCAGCACTCTTTGTGGGGACAGCTTAAAAGTATCAAAAAATGATACCAGACAGGGACAATTTTCTGTTGCAAGTGCTTGAATTTCTCAGCTCACTTCAAAAAAATGAAAAATAACGACAACATAAAAATGAGGGATGATTGGATTGTGAGAATCTCAAATTGAGGATTCATCTCAATCCACACACATGCTTCCATGCTTTCAGTTGCATATCAGCGCACTTTTGAGATGGCGAAAGTTCCCTCCGCTACCGGATTCTGTTCGCAGATCGTTGCAATGTTGGTCAGCACCACGTATTGCGTCTCACGAGGCCCTCGGAGAAGTCGAACCAGGGCGCGAGCAATCTGAATTTAGAATATATATTTTTCAGATATAGACCGTGTTGGCTACTTGAGAAAGCTGAGCTTTGGGAGCCACGTGGTAGAACAGTTGTACCACTGCCATCACGACTGAGCAATTTCGAGATTGTAACAAGGGGCGAGCCGAGTTCAGAAGAAGAACAATATCTGTATCTGGTGGTGTCTTATCCGGATCGGCTAATTCATTCCTTGCATATCTCGTGAGCATATTTATCATCACAATTTGACCCCATTCATCCACATCAGCCAATCCGCGGCATAGAGCTCGAAAGTGTTTGTGAAGAAGATCAAGTCGATGCGGGCAGATCTCATCAAATGCATACACAGCGCTTCCCAACACCAGACTTCTCCTATCAGCTAAGAGGAAGTCGATGCAATCTACCAGCTGAGGTTCCAGTTCCGGTTCCAGTAAATAGAGCTTCGGTATAGCGTGAGCTGCAACTTTCCGTACGTATGGACTCATGTCTCGGACGGCATCTTTGATCGAGAGAAGCATAATAGGAGCAACCATCGGAACACGGATTGACGTCAATACGCGCAGAGCACTCCCACGTATCAACTGATTCGGGTCTTTGAGGGCTCGTTGGAATGTGGAAATCGAGAGAAGTGCGAGATCCTGTTGCTCTTCGGCGTATCGCACCAGATAGACGAAGACTAGTTTTTTTAGCTCGACATTTTTGGCTGCCACGTTTTTGACTACAGCCGCAAATAGTTCACTGACATCTTTTCCTTTAGCAATTAGCTGAAAATAAACATCATCTGTGAAAAGATACAGTAGTATGAAAAACCTACATTAATAATTCGTTTCATAGCATCTACTTTTAAATTATCCTTGTTGCTATCCAACATTACTTTCAGATCAGCAAATCTTCTGAAATCCAAAATTTGTGGATGCCTTGAATTTTCAAGCGAATAACTTACGTTCTATTATCCAATATAACTCCACCCTCTGCGATCTCCATCTCAGGGCTGGTTAGCCCTTCGACGAACGACGTCATCTGAATGATTATCCGCTTTAGATGGGATGAAAAATGCCAGTAAAATTTATACATATATGAGTGTAATAGAAAACACATTAACAAAAATAGGTGAAAACTGAATACACAAAAATTTCATTCATCATAAACCAAGAGATTGAATATGTTGAGAGAGTTACACAGATCACGTCATAGACCAGTATTCACATAAAAACCATTTTTAGAGATATCAGTTGAAGAGTAAAGATAAAAGCATCCGAGTTAATAATTATTGTCCGAAACAACCAAAACCAAGAAGAAGATTCCGACGAGTGAAATGAAGACCAATGACAGCAGTCTGTTTTGTTGCATACGATCCCAGTTGGAATCCTTCCATGTTCACTCTGAAATTCAACTTGAATAAGTGTTCAATATGAATGTATCACCTTGGCTCAGCATAAAGATCATTCTGGGTGGCTGCAGCACTAATCAATGCATCCAGAGAATATAACTGAATGTTGTCGTTTCCATGTGACACTGCGAAGACTCCTCCGTCACGAGTGAATGAGATGTGACCCTGAAATTATATTTTTTGGATAAGCTTTCAAAGATACTGAAATACCTTGGCTCCAGCTTGCTCTGTAATTTCCGCTGCCACCAATCGTTGATAAGCCAAATCCCAGACCATAATAGTTCCGATGGCATCCAGTGAAACGAGATAACGACCACATGGGGAGAATTTGAGAGCGATTATGGGCGCTTTATGACCACTGAACAGGCGAACGCGAACTCCAGATACCACATCCCAAACTCGAACGTACCGATCTTCCGATCCTCCGGCAATGTAGTTACAGTTCGGATGATAGTCAATGCATCCAACATCTCCATACGCGTCAGGGAACATTCGAAGAGGCGTCATTCGATCAGTACTCCACATTGAAACGGTTTTATCGGCACTGGCAGTGGCAAAATAGTAACCCCGAGAACAGAATTGCGCTTGCCAGACCATTGATGGTAATCTGAAGATCACAACATTTCTCTGAGCATCCATACTCCACAATCGGACGGTTTTGTCTCCAGATGAAGAAAGTAGAAGACGCCGATCCGGTGAAAAGTTCACAGAAAACACTGGACCTCCATGACCAGTCAACCTTGCACTCGACGTCGATGCTTGTAGGTCATACATCTGTGATTGCACATTGTCTGCCGTCTCGATATCAATTTTCTCCAAGTACTCCATATCTCTCAACTTCTTCATTTTGTTCATTGGGTCCATCGCATTGATGACAATGGAAGAATCCGAAAGTCCCATGACAATGAAGCTGGAGTCATCGGAGAAATCGCAAGAAGCGACTCCAATGGGAGCATTAATCGTAGTGTACATGCAAATAGAAACTGGGGTTTCTGGAGAAATTATAGCCATTTTTCCAACGTCACGGAGCCAATTTCGTCGTTCCTCTCGGAGATGCTCGCTAAGAGGTGGGAGGGGGACACGATCGTGTGCTGGACAATGTTGAGACTGGAAAAAGGATAAGGATAAGTTTGAGGTAAGAGAGTTTCTAATTTCATTGAAAGCTTTTTCTATATTGCACAGCAGACATCAAAAACAACTAAACTTATTATGACACGTGTCTTTAATCAGTACAGTAGTAAAAAACCCCGTTTAATGATACTGCTCTATAAAACATTCATTCGTCCACTAGTAGAATATGGTACTTCAATAAGTTATCCCCCCAACAAAAAAGAACAAAGAAATATCGAATCTATCCAGAATTCCTTCACAAGAAGGCTTTATAGTAGGAATGTAGGCAGATATATTACTCCACAAGACTCAGATTACATGAATGCTAGTGAACGTAACCTCCTTCATGGTCTCTCCTCTCTGGAACACAGGCGACAAACAATTGATAAAAAACTGATATCTAAAATAATGTTAGGAAAAGTGGGTCTAAACCAGACTGACTTTTTCCAAGTGTCCACAAATAATCGAACAAGATCAAAATCAAGGTACAAATGGAAAAGAGCTAAAACAAAAATTAGGAAACCCACTTTTTCGTCAATAGGGCGCTTAGTAAAATGATTCAGTTACTGCTGAGCAATTGCTCAATTTTCTGGCCCTACTCTCTGTCCTCTATTATATGCATTATTTTATGTTCATTTATGCTTGACATGTCTTATTCTCCTCTCCCTATTTCTTTCTCACTCTAGTTCTAGTTCATTCTATTATTTTACATTTCCTCTCACTAGAATTCATTATTTATCCATTTGGAATCTGATTATCATGTATTTTAATGTTTTTTTCCTTTCTTTCCACGATTCTTGCAATCGTAAGTAAATAAATAAATAAATAAATAAGCTTGTGCGAATGAAATTTCCATAACTTACAGTTTGCATTTTCTTTCCCACATCTTTTCCTTTGGACTTCCTCTTCTCAATACTTTGCATCAATTCATCCTTAACCACCGAGAATAACATCTTGTGTCTTCTTTCTCCTTTACTTATAACTCCCAAAATTCCTCCCATTTGCGTCTCGATCATAGTTCGACTCACTGCACCATCGTCCGCATCTTGACCAGTAAGAAATATATGATTATCAGTGATTTAATATCAATAATAGCTTACTCTCAATACTGATGTGCTTGGCAATTATATTTTTGACTCCAATTAGTCTAGTTTGGATCAGTTCCAAATGTTTCATCGTTGGTTTCGATAGCTTCACAACGAATTTGTTATCCCGGAGAGTTCTGACGTATTCGTTAGGCCGCAGTGTCATCGCATCTTCGATAAGTGACAGTCTGTAGACGAATTCGGAAAAACATTCCGGAATGAAAACTTTGAATCGATTGAAGAAAACACGAGCAGTTGGGGCGTGCTTCTCGATTAAGGCAATGTAGCTGTGTGCGAATATTGGGAACAGAAGTTGACTGAATTCTGCTTGGATGACGTCGGAACAGTCGTTGGCGTGTTTGACAAATGTATCAAATTCCACAGAAATAGCTTCTCTGAAACTTTCAGGAGCTGGCAATCGATTTAACGGGTTATTCTTTATATTATTCTCGGCTCTTTATGACAAGGGGGGGGGGGGGNCCATGAGAAAAGGGGGGGGGGGGCCATAGGTAAAAATGCGGACTAAGTTAAGATTTACCAATTTTTTCAAGTTTTTCGAATGTTTCTATAAAAATTTTGTACTTTGCGCATGTTTCCACAAAAATGTGTCATTTCAAAAAATTTCAGTTTAGTACGGTTTTTTGCATGAAAAACACTGTTTTTCCCATTGTGACTGTGTAATTTGAAGTTATTCAGCTAATTTCAGATTTTTTCAGGCTTAGTAACAAAAAAATAGACAAAAAATATGCAAAAAAAACGACATAAACTGAAATTTTCAAAAAATTATGAAAAGTGTTCAAAGTTCGAAATTTTAATGGAAACGGTCACAAAACTTGAAAAAATCGGTAAATCTCAACTCAGGCATAATTTTTCCACTTGGGCCCCCCCCCCTCTTTCTCATGGGCCCCCCTTGTCATCAAGAGCCGAAAAATCGGGGCTGTGGAAGAGTCTTTTCTCCCAAAAAGTCGCAAAATATGTTTTTTTCTAAATTTAAAAAAAAACTGCCGGTAAACGGGTTTTCCGTTTATAAACGGATGAGAATCGAGAAAAAAAGAATCACAAATATTTTCCAACTACGGTAGTTCGGCCGTGGCCGCGGCTACCAGATTTCCTCTTCCACAGCTCCGATTTTGGCATACGAGCATAATAAATATATGCTTTTTGAAACAGTAAACATCACATTTGAAAAAAAAAACCTACTCTGGTGGCAATCCACTGGTTCCCTCGTTTCGTAGAATGGGTCCTGCTTCTCTCGTCAATTGCTCTTCAGTTTCTGTTAAACCATTTTTCCGTAAATACTCGAGAACCGCTTGCAACGAGTCATTCGTCATTGGTTTTGAGAAGAAATCTTCTCCCGGATGATTGTTGTTCATCGAATTCATTGGTGGCGAATCGAAAAATTGACTATTCGAGTTTTCGTTGTCGTTCAAGTTCATAATCTGAAATTCGAGAAAGAATCATTTTACCATTATTTAGCTGAGAAAAAAAAATCAATAAGATAGGGACTACAATAAGATAAATGAAATTGAGTATGTCATCTGCTTCACAATAACGAGAACTCTGGGGAATGTCTTTTATATGGTCATTTCTTCTTCACATCTTTTCTTATCCCAATTCAATACAGAGTAGTTCGGTGGGGCGCGAATGCCAACAGCGACCGTCGCGTACTATCTTAATTGCTCTGTTGAAAATTAGAGAGCATATTATGAAATATCACTGCTCTTCTTCAATCATGTAGTTTGTAGTGTATACCTTTACAGTTTTCCAATCGAAATCTATCACCAACACTATCTTTTAGCTGTAACTGCACAATCTTATTGTTTACGTATCTTATCAGTCGTGTCCATTTTCTGTCTTAGATAACAAATTGCATCCCTATTTGACTTTGGAAAGGCAGAAAAAGAGATTCAGAATACAGGGAAAATATAATAACTCACCCATTTTGAATTCAATTGGAATATTACAGTTTCTAGTTAGTATAAAGTTCTTCTCAACGGAATTTGATTTCACACGTCGAATGCATGAATAAAAAGGATCCGGAGGAAGATGAGACGAAGAAGAAGCCTACATTTAAGAAGGAGAGACGCAGACATGTGTTCATGTAAGGATCGATAGGAGACGGAGAGACATGCGCCGAAACAGGGGGAGAAGAAGAAGGAGTAGGTCGAAGGGAGTGCTCCTCTTCTTTACTTTTTCATGAACACTAATACAACGTCTTCTTCCTCTTCCTCTTCAGCGCCATCAAAGGATAATGGGAGGAAATCACATAGTCCCGAAATAGATGTGGATGGTTTGAAACCTGATTGTTCTTCTCCAGAAAAAGTGGAGAAGCAGCCGGAAGCAGGTGGAGGTGTTGAACAGAACACTGTGAAGCAGCGTGGAAATGAAGTGAGTTTTTTGAATGGTTTCGAAACAATGATGGATTAGAAGACTTAGAATTTTTAAATGAGAAATTAGGTTAGAATACAGAAAAAGCCTGATTTTGATAAAGAAAATAATCATAAAACTACAGTAAGACATCTCTGAAAAATGATTTCGAACATTTTGGCTTGACTTGAAGTATAGACCTTCTGATCTAAAAAAATGAGAATTGGGATATTATTCTGGTACAACAAAATCGAAGCTGTGGAAGAGAAACATTGTGACCGAAGTTCCCTCAACGACAACTACAGTAACCTAAGAATATTTTCATTTTCCGGATTTCATTTCTCGATTTTCGTGCGTTTTCTGTCAATTTTTTCACTATTGAAAAGTTTTGTTTCTCAACTTTTTTGGGGAAAAATAAGATAAAACTCGACAAAGTAGTGAAAAACGAGAAAAAAAGAAATTATTAGGTTACGGTAGTTGCAGTTGTGGAACCTTCAGCCACGGCCACCGGCGTTTCTCTTCCACAGCTCCGATTGTTTTGTACTAGTATAATGCGGAAAAAAAGAAAATATTCAAATTTCAGGCTACTTCGAAAAACACTCTATCTACTCCTAACCAACGACCCCGCACTACAAGCAGCACCTTTGATGGTACAGAAGCTCTGATCGCCACCCTCTCCGCATGGGACTGGGTAACAATCGACGGTCTGAAACTGCCAGCAGTCTCCAGGAACAAGGAACGCTACGTGGCTGTTCATATGGTTCAACTCAAACTTTTGAGCAAATTCCCATCGGATATTCCATCAGAGATCACTCGAAAATTTACGATGAGCTCTTTCAAAATGACTGTAGCCGAAGCTTGGACGTTCAATTCCATAAATGCAGTGATCAGAAAATTCGATCTAGGATGTCAACTGTTCACCGCGAATGATGAACTTGTTAAGCTGAACGATGTCCAGTTGTTCTATTTGAACGTGAAGCTGTTGAACTTGTATCGAGTGAATAAGGATTATGAGAAGGCGATCGCGACAACGGAAAACAATATTCAGTTGTTGGCAACTGCGATGCAGTTAAAGGAACAAGTTGAAAGTGATATTCAGGTATAATGTTTTTAGATTCTTTAAAAAATTTTAACTTCCCAGTTTTCAGGCAGTTCGTGCAGAACTTGGTCGACTTGAAAAGAGCTACATAGTCAGTGAGTCCAAACTTACTGACTAGAATCACAAAAGTTAGCTTTAAGATAACATGACGCAGGGAAACACGACACAACAACAATCACAAAAGATCATATCGTACCAATCATAGCTCTCTTGTTTATTAAAAAATCGTAAAATTTGTTGTTTGTTTCGTTTTGTTTTCACTAATAAATGTCACATACTTTGAACGCAAAGAAATAGGAAGCAATCGATGACTATGTACAGGAAATTATCTTCAAGGAGTTTACAAAGAGAAGGAGCAATTAAAAACTGAAAATGTTTTTTAGACCTGAATAGGGGTGAATCGAGAAAAAAAGAAGTTCGATGAATTTGTAGAAATGCACTGTTGAGAGATGGACGGAAAGTAGATTTCAATAAGAAGACACACATTGATTTAGAACAAGAAAAAAGGCTAAAACGATAGCATTTTGCAGATGGCCTTCAACGGCATACATATTGTACTTCCAAACGTTTTGCACACATCCGAGAAGGAGATTTGGGCATGTGATCCGTTAGTATACTTTACATATGTACAACCGTCAGCATGCTGATCTCCAATTCGGTAGTAGTCTCTGAAAATATTCAGATTTCAGAGTTTGTACTACTATTTCTCTGGTTTAATTCCAATGCGCGTTGCGGATAACCTACGAGGGTGGGCGGGGTTTAGTCCGGTAAAGTAAATGTATTTTTTGTGATTTGTCGGATTTTTGTGAGAAAAATTTAACGTTTTGATTTTTTAAAGAAAATCGGAATAATAGGTCAGAAAATAATTACAAAAAGTACATGATCCTTAACAATTTCTCTACTGGACCTAAGCTCCGCCCACCCTCGATTTTTTGACCGAAACGCGCTTCTTAATAAGATCATAGTAAAACTACCAGGAAAAGGCCTATCAATAATTCTTCTATTAATAAAAGATCAAGAAAACGAGCTGAAAAAGAATCTTACGGCAGTGAAGCGTGAAACTCGAATCCGTGCATTTTGTAGAAGGAGAGCGCGGCCGAGTTTGTGGATAATACATGAAGGAAGACAACTCGGGTGTACGGTGGATGATCAATCAGTGAAGCCATCAAATTGTTCAGCAATCGCGTGGCGAGACCCAATCTTCGGAACTTTTTGTTTACTGCGATGGAGAGAATATAGGTGACATGGACGTTCGATTCGGAAATAATATCTTGGTCCTAAACATAAATCGTATTTAATAATAATTAGAAAAGACCACAATACCTCGAGGTTACAGTCCGTTACAAATTTGGTTTCCGAAACAATCATAGCTGCAAGATTCTCCCCATCAAAAAGACCGGTCGACGTCAGTCCTCCGGAGACAACTTCATCGTACCAAAAATCTGGATACTGTATTGGAAATGACTCATTGCATAACGTCTCAACTGCTATTCGATCATAAGGTTTCAGCTTTCGAAGTGTGAACGAATCGGCGAGAGATGCTGCTGGCTTGAGTACTTCTGATGATGATGATGGTGTCATTCCGTCTTCGTCTATCCACAAGCCTCTACTCTGAAAAATGGAATCGTTGGTGGAGATCTCGAAAATCAAGAAAACCAAGAAGTTGGCAATTACAGCTGCGTGGAGCATTTAAAAATGACTAAAGAGGACGATATTATGCTGGTCTGAGAAATAAAAGGTTGAGACGCAGAGAAAAAGTGTCTGCGTCTCCACCTTATGTGTGCTATTTAGGCTCTCCGCTTCGATATCGCTACCGTATTTAGACTGCAAAAAATACTCTCTAACCTTTTTTTTCTCAGACAAGCATAATAGCGAGAAATGTGGATATTCTGAGACTACAAGACCAAAAAAAAAACAAAAAGCCGCTCAGCGTTTTATGTCTCGAACAAGCGTTTGGGAAGCTCCCATTTCTGTCACTTATCAAATTTAAATCGACATTTGACAGATGGGTATGTGTGGAAGAAAAAGAAAAGAGTGGGGCTGCATTCGAAACAAAATTGTGGAACAACTAAAAAGGGAAGGTTTTTTAGACAACGGTTGAGATTTGCTCAAATTTTGCATACTTATAATTTAAGACATGCTCTATACGATGACGAAAAAATCTTTAGCCTGTTCTCACTCCCAGGCCGAAAAACTTTGTCTGAAATTTTGGGCCGTTTTCGGTGCGCTGGGGATTTCGGCTTCCCCTTCCCTCCTCTACCAATTCCGCGTGAGAGGAAAATATCGGTTGTGTGGTGTTGTGGTAAGAGGGTGGCTCATTAGGATTGACTATGCTGGTTCGACCCCCACTGTGGTAAAACTTTTTTTTGCATTTTTTGAAACTAATTTTTGATTCCAAGTTTGCCCCCCTAGGCACTATATGACACGTTTTGATTAATTTCAAAAGTTTTCAAAGAAAAAAAGATTTCATGAGAGTTTGAGGAAAAAATAGATAATGGTCTTTTCGACCGGTTCTTACATCCTCGTATCGTTAAAAACGAAAATTTCAGTCTGAAAGTTGCTCAATTTTGCTCTTTTTGAGGTGGAGTACTGTGTAAATCGATCACATACAATATTCGAACCTATTTCTATATGTTTCAGTGAATTTCAAGCGATATTTCAGAAATTAGGGACTGTCAAAGTTCTAAAAACAATCAGATTTTGGAGATTTTTTGAGCCCAAAGACAACATTGGGCTGAAAAATCTGTCAGAATGCTATTTTTATCGTTTCTGAATAATTGGAACATTTTTTAAAACATTTTCAAAAAATCACTTTTGCAGTGTGGGGGACCCCATGGCGATTTTTTCAAAAATTTTCAAAAAAAAAGTTTTTTTTGAAATAGCTAATTTTTAACTTCGAAAAATGCACGTTTTGGTCAAATTTTAGAACTGAAATCACTTTCAGAGGCCATATTTCGGCTCCTTTTGAGAACGGGCTGAAAAATTTTTTGGATTCGGATTCAGCATGTTCGAAAGTACCTTTGTACAAATTTTGAGCACATTCTCAACCGTTGTCTAAAAAACCTTCCCTTGTAAGCAAAGACTCATTGACCACAAACTGCCTATGGCGGTGGCGTGCCAAAGAGGATTTTGTGACGTGGCATATGCAATAACATAACATAAAACAGGTTAGATAGTATTTTATGGATCCTACTCGGCTTCTAAAATGGCTTCTGGTGCGGGAAGAGACAGGAGAGAAGGAATGAGTCTAATTCAATTTCCGGTTCATTTTCACTATACGAAAAAAAGCAAGCCGGAAAGGGGGACCAGTGAAGACAAAAAACATGATGCATCCTTCTTTATAATTACTTCTTCTTTCCAGTAAATTTCCGTTTCAAATAATTTTTTCTCAAATGTAATAAATTTTTTAAAATAAATGTTTGACATACAAAAAATAATGGGAGTTTTGTCTCCAGGCTGTTATCGAATTTCACTCTAGTTTTACACAAAGCTATCCTATACGCTTTGGAATTTAGTGTGTCTCATCATTTTTTGAATTTCTCGCAATTTCAATTTTTAGAAACTAGAGACACATGGATCTCAGACTAATACTTGTCTCCAAGAGCAAAGCTCACTTGTTATAAGAGATGAAATGAGGCGGGTAAAAGTTTTTGGGATTGGAAGGAATGAAAAAAATGTAGTAGAGAGAAAGAAAGAAAGTGTGTGAGGTATTTTGAAGACGAGAAACAAGTTTCTCTCTATTCAACACAAACTACATTCATATCCAATTCGTTGTGCTCCACATGTGATCTTAATAACTTACCTTTCGAGATTTTGGATCGAATGACCATCCCATATGCGACGTTGTAGATCTACTTGTGTTCATCGTTTTTCTATTTTTTCAATCTTCGTTTCCTTTGCTTCAAGAACATCACAGCGACATATCCATCTCCTGAAAAATTGGTTTTTTGTCGAATTCAGTTTCAACACATAACATAAAACGATTGAAATGGGCCCTTCTCCAGAGTATTTCTCTGTGAAAGAGTGACGAGTTGTCAACCCCTCTCAGAAGGCGTGGCGGCAATGACACAACAGGGAATAATTCAAAAGAAGGGACCCGCTCTTCTTGCTTTTAGTGAAACTGGAGAGAGAGTGTGTGTGGTCAGTCGAGAGACACAGACAGTTCAGTATACCATTTTCTACATAGTGGAAAGTTGAGACGCAGAGCAAACCCATTTTCGCTAGCTCTCTCTCTTTATGACTTTTTCGTTGAAACAATACCAATTCAAAAAATAAAGCATGGAAAAGTTTATCGGGCATATATCTCGAATCTTTTCGCAAGCTTGAAAGCGAGGAAGCGTATTATTCTGGTATAATGGGGTATGGGCAAACTTGCAACTAAGAATCCCCATCATTTTGGAGTGTCTTTTCTCGATTCATTCGCTTTTCAGATGCCAGTCGAGGGACCAAAAATGGCGATTGTTACTGCGCTTTTGCCCGTGCCACTCAGTGTTTACGTCTTTGCTTTCGCTGTGTATGTCAATCTTTTCACACTTCATAATC